CTCTGTCTCTGTCAAATAAACAAAAAAATCTTAGAAAAAAAAAAAAAAAGAAATGAGCTATTAAGCCGTGAAAAGACACGGGGGAAAGTTAAATGCATATTCCTAATTGAAACAAGCCAATCTGGAAAAGGCTACATACTGTATAATTCCAATGACATGATATTCTGGAAAAGGCAAAACTTTGGACACAGTATAGGGATCAGAGGTTTCCAGGAGTTAAGGCGGAGGGATGAACAGGTGGAGCACAGAAGATTTTGAGGGCAGTGAGGGTATTGTAATGGGGAATACATGTCATATATTTGTCAAAACCCATAGAATGTACAACACCAAGAATGAGCCTTAATGTAAATTATGGACTCGGGGTGCTAATGTGTCCATAGAATTTCACTGATTGCAACAGAAGTACCACTATTGTGGGGGGGTGTCGATTTGGGGGAGGCCATGTGTATGTGAGGGTAAGTGGTATACAGGAACGCTCTGGATTTTCTGCTTAACTTTGCTGTAAACCTAAAACTGCTCTGAAAAAATAAGGTCTTTTTTTTAATATTTTATTTATTTGACAGAGAGAGAGAGCACAAGCAGAGGGAACAGGAAAGGGAGAAGCAGGCCCCCTGCTGAGCAGGGAGCCCGATGCGGGGCTCCATCCCAGGACCCTGAGATCATGACCTGAGCCGAAGGCATGACGCTCAACCGAATGAGCCACCCAGGGGCCCCCAGCTAGGCACATCTGTAAAGTGGATTAGTGCGGGCCATGAGATGGAGGGAGGGAGGAGTGAGGGGGTGGGTGTTTAATGGGTTCGGAGTTTCTTTTTGGAATGATGAAATGTTCTGGAACTGGAAAGTAGTGATATTTGCACATGATTGGAAATGTACTAAATGTCACCGAATCAATCGTGTACCTTAAGATGGTTAAAATGGTAAATTTTAGGTTATGTGTATTTTACTTCGATTCGAAAAACTGCAGGGTGACAGGTACAAAAAGAAAGTGTGCTGGCAGGGTGTCTTCCTCTTCCTTCCTGTTTTGGACACAGATGTGATGCCTGGAGTTGCAATGGCCATCTTGCCACCATGAGGCAAAGAAGCAAGCAGATAAAAACCCAACAAACTAAAGAGAATAAAAAGAACAATTCTGAAACCTTGATCACATTGTTGAGCTGACCACCAACCTCAAGACTTCTTAACAATACACGTCCTTGAATTTCTTTTAAATAGGCTCCACCCCCAATGTGGGGCTTGAACTCATGCCCCTGAGATCAGGAGTCCCACGCTCTATGGGCCGGGCCAGCCAGGTGCTCCAATAAATGTCCTTGAAGTTAAAAAAAAAAAAACAAAAAACACTTTTCTTAAGGTGAGAGGAACAGCCTGTCATGAGGCGCTGCGACACGGAGCCGCTGAGAGGTAGGGCTGAGGGGAGAGGGGGGTTCAGTCTCTCCCCCAGATGGAGAAAAGTCAGGAAGGGCAGGGAGGCAAGACAAGCAGTTCTCTGAATCACAGGGAAGACGCTACAGAAGCATCGAGGGCAAAACCTCTCATTTTGCACTTGATCCTGGTGACGCCCAGCCTCCACCTGGCGTTGCTTTGATACCTTACCCCCATTTCCCTTGCTTCCTCCCTCCACTAAATCATCACCTGATAGGTGAGGACATTTGTCTGAGGTCCCACAGCCAGCAAGTACTGAAGCTGGGACTGGTTACAGACTAAATGGAAGGGGTCCAGAGAGAGAACTTGAAGAGAGAGAAGATATACTTTTCCCTCCTCTGTATTTATTTGAAAAGGGCCATGTCACCACGCCAAACATGGTGATTCCCTCGACTTCACGAAATCTCAATGACCAGAAGGGGATGCTCTGATTACCCGGAGGGATGGGGGGATGCTGTTCTCAAAATGGCCACACGGTGTCGCTGTTGGACAAGAATTCACTGTCTTCCGGTTCCGGAAAGGAGGGACCTTCCCGGAGGCGTTCTTTTTGTTCCTGAAGGTGCGAATTGTCCCAGTTAAGCAAAAATAGGATCATGGCACTTTCTCTTCCAGGCACAAGGTAAAATTAAAAGGACCGTGGTAGGTATTTCTAGTGCTCACCAATTGTTCCAGCTCACCTCCCCTTCCTGAATGCAGAAAGGCGGCAGTCCCCAACCCAGTTCTGCCGGTGGGCGGGGTCGTGTGCCCGTTCTGGCCAATGGGCTGCGAGGAGAGCTGGTGTGCGTCACTTCCTCGCTGACGCCTTTAAGAGCCGGTGCGTGGGTCTCTTTGCGCTTCCCCAGCCAGGTGCAGTGAGGATGCTGTGGGTCCAGACACAGCAACAGGAGTCCCCAAAAGTTTAGATCTGCAGCTGCTCAGTAAGGGAACTGGGGGCGCCTCGGTGGCTCAGTCCGTTAAGCATCTGCCTTCAGCTCAGGTCATGATCTCAGGGTCCTGGGATCGAGCCCCCCTCGGGCTCTGCTCGGTGGGGAGTCGGCTTCTCCTTCTCGCTCTCCCTCTGGGCTCTCTCAAATAAATAAATAAAATCTTTTTTAAAAAATAAGGTAACCATTGGCACATGCCATGCGTATTTGATTGTAAATTTATTTTTTATTTTTTAAAAAGATTCGAGAGAGAGAGAGAGCATGCACAAGGGGCAGGGGCAGAGGAAGAAGGAGAGACTCTTAAGCAGGCTCCACATCCAACGTGGAGCCAGATGGGGGGCTCAGTCCCATGACCCCGAGACCACCATCCCAGCCAACACCAAGAGTGGGATGCTCAACCGACTTCGCCACCCAGATGCCCCTGAATGTAAATTTAAATAAAGTAAAATAACACATTCAGCAGCTCCTCAGTGACACTCACCACATTTCAAGTGCTCAATAGCCCCGTGGAGCCAGTGGCCATATTGTTGCACAGAAAAAGTCCATCCTCACAGAAAATTCTGCTGGACAGTGCCTCTCTAGACCACTGCAGGCACGCACAGAGGACAGTTGCCCTGGAGAGGACTTTGCATGTGTTGTGTTCATCCATAGAGATTTGGGTTTGGTTTTGTTTACTTGTTTCCACTGAAGCATAACCTAGCCTAGCCTCACACATCGGCTGTCTTACGTAAAGGGCTTGAGAGTTTTGTGTCATTTAAACTGTCAATTGGCAGCACAACCAACCCTAAGCCAAATGGAGAAGTGAGAGCTGCAGGTGGTGTCACTAGGCAGACCCCAATGTGAACTGAGCGGGCAGACGGGGTCAAGGTCAGGCTCCAACAAGTCTTAGTTGCCCACTTTCTGTGATCTTTCTGTGATGTCTCTACCTGGCTTAGAAGGCAACCACCAAAGAATTGTTTTACTAAGAAAAGCGTCAGAATCGTTAGAAATGAAGACATGCTCGGGGGTGGGGAGCACTGTTTCTCACTGCTATTGTTGATGGTTGTCTTGTGACTTTTCCTGGAAATCACAGTGTACAGATTGGTGGAACACAGGCACAACCTCGTGAGCCCTCAGCATTGACTTTGGGCAGGGACCACATCATCTCTGTCCTCCTGGAATGAGCGGCTCAGGTTTGAGAGTTCATCAGCTTAGAACTGTATCTGAGTTGAGGCAAGCGGCCTCCATAATTCCAAAAGCATTAAGAGTTCCCCAGTGCTGAGGAATCTGATGGTCTTTGTGTGACCCACCACCGTAGAGGTTAGAAAGTATCATTGCCATTGACCCAGCAATTTCCCTTCTAGGCGTACACCCAAAGGAACCGAAAACAGGTGTTCAGACAAATGCATGTGAGCTCAGGGTCACAGTGGCATGATTCACAGGAGCCAAAAAATAGAAGCAACCTAAATGATCATCAGCTGAGGAACTGATAGACAAAAGGTGACGGATCCATACAGTAGAATATTCTTCAGCCACAAAAAAAAAAAAAAGGAATAAATGCTTATCCATGCTACTACGGCGATGACCTTGAAAATATTACACTAAAGTGAAAGCAGCAAGACCACGCATTGTATGATTTCGTTTTATATGAAATCTTCAGAATAGGGCACATCCACAGAAGCAGAAAGCAAATTACTGGTTGCTCGGGGCGGGGAGTGGAGGGGCTTCCCTCTGTGGTGGTGAAAATGTTCTCAAACTGTTGTGCCGCATGCTTGTATCTATGAATAGAGTAAAGCTGTTAAATTATACACTTTAAAGGGGTGTTGGGGGCGCCTGGGTGGCTCAGTCAGTTAAGCGTCTGCCTCTGGCTCAGGTCATGATCCCAGGGTCCTGGAATCGAGCCCCGCATCGGCCTGCTTCTCCCTCTCCCTCTATTGTTCTCCCTGCTTGTGCTCTGTCAAATAAATAAAATCTTTAAAAAAAAAAAAAAAAACAGAAAGAAAGAAAAGAAAAAGAAATGGCCCTCAGTGAAAGGTGTCCCGAAGATATCCAGTCGGTGGTCTGTTTGAAGCGAGACTGGAGTGGCCAGCCTCCCTGCGGGTCTTACAAACGGTCCAGCCCCATGAAAACTTTCTAAGTGGGCTTGTGAGACTTCTGATCACTTCCCCCCACCGACGGTCCCAACGCAGTGGTCCGAGGGGCGCCCGAGTCTCCATCCTCCGCCTGAGTGGCCCAAACAGCCAACCCAGCCCCATGCCGTCATGTGACGGCTGACCACGGGGTCCTCAGCGAGCTTGTCCGCCGACATTTGCTGATCTTGCTCTACCAGGGGCTAATCCAACTCAAGCAATTCCTGATTTCACTGGCAAGTGCTAGGGTCCGCCCAGGATCCCAGTCCCCTAGCTGGTGGGCTCAGCCCTGTGACTTGCTCCAAGAGCCGACAGAATGGAGCATGGGAATGGCTCTCCTATGCTCTCAAGGTGGTGACCAAAGCCGGCTCTGACGTCCCGGGACTCCTCTGCTTTCTGTCCCATTGCTGCTGGAGTCACCAGCGCACCCAGAGGCGAGCCCCAGCTTCCATGGGAGCCCTGTCATCGTGGGCTGAGCTCAGTCTCCCCCCTGCCTCAAGCGCACGTTGAAGCCCAGATTCCACGGGAAAAACGGACACTCACAGACCTGTTCTGTTAAACTCACCCAATGTTTATTGAATAGTGAACCATTGCCGATAGTGCTGAACTCTGCAACTCCCTCCCCCGGATCCCTCCCTCGGCCACCCTGAGAAGGAAGCCCGGAGCAGGACCACCCCAAATGCCAGAGAGTAGTCAGGGGGCTGGGGGATGCGGGGAGATGGGAAAAGGTGGGGGTGGGGGGAGGAAGGAGCAAGGCAGGCAGGGTGCAGGTCTACACTCCAGGTGGGGGGGCACACACACGCACACACACAGGCAAGGACCAGGGGCATCAGTCTCTGCCCCCCCTCGGCGGCCGCAGGGACATCAGGGAAAGACCAGGCGTCCATGAGACATTTCAGTCCTTCCCGTCATGAAGCGTCTGCCACGAGGGGCTGGGCCAAGGTCACTGGACTGTGCAGAGAAGAGGTGGGGAGGAGTCAGCTTGCAGGGGACGAGACCAGTGGGGACCCCACGATAAAGGGAGACAAGTGATGGGCAAAATGCAGTCCCAGGGAGAAACTGAGGCACGAGGACAACCGGATGCCCAGGAGGGAAAAGTTGTAATCCAACAGGCAAGGTGGGCCAAGACTTAGTTCTCGATAAAGCTGGGGGCGGGGGGAAGGGGGGGTACTGCTGCACAGCCACGAGGAGAGGCGACAGGACACCTGTCACCTGTGCCCCACGGGAACACTCGCTCTCCGGACAAGCCGTCCACTGAAATGGGTTTCTGTGATGCCGGTGTCAGCCCACGCCATCCCCGAGCCCCAGAAAGGCCGTGGGGACAATGAGGTATCCTGGTGCTGCCCCATCGCTTCTCCCCTTCACTAACTTTCACGGCTATCCTGTTGCTATCATCCATAACCACGCATGCAATTTTGCTGAGTTCTGAGAGTCCTTCTAGCGAATCCCTGAACCCCCGGGAATTGCACCCACAAAAGAGGAAAACAAGAGCCCCCGCACCCTCCTTTCCCTTTCATAAATCCCATTTTTGCTTATGCGGGATGAAAGCATCCACTGATGGACCTCTCCGGAACCCCAGGCAAACTCGTGCTGATGTTAAGTAGCCCCTTGTGAGTTACCGAGAGCTTCGAGAAGCAGCCAAGAAGCCGCCCCGCCACTGGTGTGTTTATGCCAGGGATGTGCTCAATTTCGGGCTTTAAGACTTGAAAGCCCTGCCCCCACCCTCACAGCCGAGCCGCATAATTGAGTCCGCTCCAGCTGCTTTGGAACTATGGAATTCTTGACTTTCTCTGTGTTAATTTGGGGAGCCCTCCATTTCAGACCTGCACGGGAAGCAAGACACCGCTTTGTGTGTATCGCATTAATTCAATCTGCACGTTCAAATTCACAGGGAAGGTGACCTCGCTCTGCCCTAGTAAAGGACTCTGAGAAAGAGAACTTGAATTTCAAGCATTTGGAAACCAGTCCGCTGGAGCCAAGCCTCCTGGGGACAGGAACTTGGGTCCACCATATACTGGGATGGAAGAGTCAGTTCCAGAACAACAGGGGAGAAGGGGGAGAGACTGGTGCTCAAGTAGAGAGAATGGGCGAGTACGGTCAGGCTCTCGAGTGTCAGGAGCCAGAACCTGGTTCTGGAGTGGGCTGGCGTCGGGTGCCCAGGTGCCCAGTTCTAGAAGAGGCGGGGTTTGGAGCTCATCTGGAACACATGGGCTTAGAAATGGGAAATCAGGCTCGGGAGGTACTGAAAAGCAGTTCTATGACCCAGAGAATAATATGGACACCACTACCCATTCTAGATTATATCGGGTTGGAAACGAGTCTTAGGTTCGGGGTACATTAGGAACTGGCTGTCGAATGCGGTGTGTAGGAGCTGGGACCCCCTCACCTCTGCCTTCAGGGCACATTAGCCCTGAGCCAAGGCGGCCTTGATGGCTGCCACCAGCTTCAGAAACTTGCTCTCTGTGTCCACGTAGCCATCACCTCTCTGGGGAGGGGAAGAAAAGGGAAGGGCTGAGATCCCAACACCAGCCAGCCTGAGAACAAGGCGAGACAGACGGACAGACAGCCGTACCTTCTTGGAGTGAACCAGCTTCCCGGCTACCATCACTTCAAAGAAGCCAGTGGCCTGGGGAGTCCCCTCGCCGCACTGGGGAGAGAGATGTTGTTGGAGGGGCCGAGCGGCCCACTTGGGGACACCTGCACCTTTCCAGGAAATGGAGATTATGGGGGTGAAGGGTAGGGCCAGCCCAAACCACTCTGCTGCCGCCTCAGGGTTGAGGGACACACAAGGAGACCCATCTCTGATTCTCTTCCCCAGCCCCAAGACTCACGATGTCCAGGCATCCGGGGAACTCATCTTCTAACTTCTTCTTGAGCTGAAGATACTGGGAAGGGGGTGTGGGGGGTCACAACTGGGGTCAACAGGGGCCAGACCAGCTCGCCCTCCTCCCTCATCTTCCAGGGACACCTCGGGCTGGCGCCTCCACTTACCTTGGACTTGTAGCCTCAAGCGCCACTGGTGGGAGGGGGTCCAAGAGGGTGAGTCGACAGCAAAACCGAAGACGGGACAGAGAGAGGAGAGGACAGACACACAGAGAATGTTGGAAGGGGCACAGGGACGGGCGACAGGAGTGGACACCCACGCACGAGGAAAACCGGCCCAGAGCAGGGGAGCCAAGAGACGGAGAGGGGGCGCAGGGCAAGCGGGTGACAAGGAGAGACACAAGTATGAGACACAGGCGGGAGGGAGGAAACAGAAAACGGCGTTAGGCTGAGAGCCACAGAAGCAGCACCCCCATCCACAGCCCCGCGGGGAGGTGTCCCGAAAACCTTTACTCCCAGATTCCCAGGTCCTCCCAGTCCTGAGGCCGGAATCCAAACGCCTCCCCAACCCCCACGGCAGGCTATTTCCGGACAGGCCGCGTGGGGGCCTCAAAATGTCACTCCACCCTCCGCTTTGCTTGCAGAGGGTGCGGGGACGTTTCTAACGCGCCCGGCCCGCAGATCTGAGCCTTTCAGAATCAGCGGCTGCCCCAGGGCATTTCACTCCAGCTTCGGACCTGACCCCACCCTCCCCAATAACGAAGACGGAGCTAATACTCTCTTCCTGCAAGCACTTTCTGGGAGGAGAAATGCGCTGATCGCGCATTTACTAAGCGCCCACGGGCAGGCCTGTCTGCAAGTCCGCATAGTGCTAGGTGTCCCGCAGGGGGGTGGAGCAGTCAACGAGAGAGAAAATCCCTTGTCCACTCGGGGCTTTTTCACGCTAACGGGGAAGCTGGCTCAAACATGCACTCCCTCCGTGGTCACTACCGAGATCACGCTCTCAACCTCTGCAGATGGGGAAACCCAGACCCGAAAGGAAGGAGGGCTACTAACGATGGTCACCCACAGTCTTCATTCCTTTCAAACCCACGCTGGAACATTCTCGAACCTTCCCGACTCTCGCCGTCCCCACCCCATGACTGTTCATGGTACTGGGGGAGGGGAAACATAAACGTTGACAGAGGCTCCTCTCCCATTGCAAAAGTGACCCCCCCACACACACCCGCTCCGCAAACGGAGCCCCCGGAGTCGGGTGTCTTAAATGGCCGCACACATGTCTCGGCTCCACCTTCGATAACCTGAGCTGTCCTCAGTGCCACGCACTGGGGAGGTGGATCAACGCCCTTCCTTCCCGCCGGTCCCCTCACGCCCACCCCACCCGCAGCGAACCCCTTTTCTCGGGGAGGGATCTTCGTGGGTCCAGCCCCCAAGCCCCAGCGCCCCGCACCGTCGGGCCGAGTGGGGGTCGCGGAGGGGGACCCCTGGCCGTCGTGCTTACCAATAAACGACTCGGATGGCGAGGGCCATGGCTGGGGACCGTAGCATGGGCGGGACGCGGACGGTGACCCACCTGCAGCGTGGCCGTGCAAACTCCGAGGCTCCGGGACCGCGGCACAAAGGTGGTTGCCAGGCGTTCCACGGCGCGAACCAATGCGGCGGGGGAGCAGGGACGGCGGGGGACGGCGGGCCCCCACGGTGGGGGGTCAGGGACCCTGCGACCCGCCACCCTGAGCCCCCACGCAGTCCCCTCCCTTCCCCTGCTGGGGTCAGGCTGCGTCCCGACAGAAGTCCCGGGGAAAGCCTCTGCGCGTCCCCTCCCGGTGCCCCCTCCGAGCCAGAATGGTATGGCCCCGCGGGGCGGGGTTTGGGACCCGAGGATCGGCGAAGAAAACGGAATTGCCAAGGAGGGCGGTGGTTTTCCAGCGTGGGCCGGGAGGGGGCGGCTGTCGGGCCCCTTTCTTCCCCCGGAGAGGGTGGGAGGGCCGAGTCCGAAAGCACTGGGGGTACGCAGGGGCCCGCCCGGGAAGCCCAGGTTTCCAGCGAGCTCCTCGCGCCGGGCAGCTGGACCTGAGCGCCGCCTGAGCGCCGTGGCAGTTCCTCCTCTGGCGCTTTCCAGCCCCCTCCGAGTTGAGGGGTTCAGGAAAGTGCTGGAAGCGGGCCGCTAGTTAAGGGATTAGGGCGTGGGCGCCTCCCTGAGCCTCAGTTTCTCTGTCTGGAAGATGGGCGTAATCGCGGTCAGGGACGACTCATTCATTTACCGAATATGTACTGCGGACCGACCTGCTGTCAGCCATGAAAAAATAGACACAATCCCTCTCCTCCTGGGAGTGGTTTAGCCAGGGGGCTGGAGGAGATTAAGGGAGTTGATGTGCACGTTCAAACTGGAAGGACCTGAGTATCTTGCACTTGGAGATGGCTCAATAAAGACCAACTCTGCCAGAGATCTTCCTGCCCCACCTTCTGTCTCTGCCTCCTGGTCCTTGGTCCTCACCTGCTGTAACCGCCCTGGCTCAGGGCGGATGGCACACAAGGTTCAAGTTCCACTCTGCCTCTGTTGTGTGACATCTGATCCCAGTGGTCTTGGAAGGATGTAATGAGCCTGGGATATAGAGCGCCCAACACAGGGCTGGGTGCAATCAGTGTCCCCTAAATACAGATCTTCCAGAGCCGTCAGAACAAAAACCCAAATCTTGGCACCATCTGCCCCTGCCTGGTCCCATCCTTCCCTTCCTGCCCCATCTCTCAGTGCCCTAGCCACCCGGACCTCACCCACTTTCCTGCCTCTGGGCCTTGGCACATGCTGTTCCTGGTCATCCTGCAGGAATCAGCTCCAACAGATTGTCACCCCCTAGACTCCAGGCCCTGACCTTGACTGCCCACCTGCTGGTACTCATCGACCTTTGTCCCACATTTTTTCTTAAGCTCTTCTTTTCAGCTTATCTCTTAACTCAGGCAAATGGAAAGCAAAACCGCCCCGCCAGGCATTGCAACTGCCCTAAAAAGACCTCCAGACCCCCAGGCCACCCAGACCAGTTTGAGCTCAATCCCTGACTCGCACCTGAGCAGGTGGACGGAGGATGGAGTGATCTCTAGAATGACAACTACCTTTATCTCATTTTTTTTTAAAGATTTTATTTATTTATTTGACAGAGACAGAGCGAGAGAGGGAACACAAGCAGGGGGAGTGGAAGAGGGAGAAGCAGGCTTCCCACCGAGCGGGAAGCCAGACATGGGGCTCGATCCTAGGACCATGGGATCATGACCTGAGCCGAAGGCAGACACTTAACGACTGAGCCACGCAGCCCCACCCCCCTGACCTTTATCTCATTATAATACTGAAATTCCCACCCAAGGAGGAGCACAAAGCCTCATTTACATAACATACAATGCATGTACAGGCATGTTGCCTTAAGGTGCATGAGGAAACTTACGCCCACCTCTACCTAGGATGACAAGGCTTCCCTATCTAAATATTCATCCTAACCATAAATAAAAGGAACCCATCCAGCCTTGCTTGGGGAGTCACTTTTGGAAGTTATTCCCCGTGATCTCCTTACTTGCTGCAAATAAACTTTTCCTTATGTGACAGCTCAACCTGGTATAGTTTGTGACTCACCAAGGAGCGAACTCACATTGGTTCAGTTACAATATTATAAGGAAAATGTTGTGCTTCCGTGGAAAACAATGCCTTCTCCATAGTACATCTATATTTGTTGGTCTGTCATCACAAAGTACCATAAACTGTGGCTTAAACCACAGATTTAGCTCACAATTCGAAAGGTCAGAAGTTGGGAGATCTAGGGGCGCCTGACTGGCTCAGTCGGTGGAGCGTGCGAATTGATCTCGGGGTCGTGAGTTTGAGCCCAATGCCGCCGTAGAGATTACTTAAAAATAAAATCTCAGGGACACATGGGTGGCTAAGCTGGTCAAACATCTGCCTTCGGCTCAGGTCATGATCCCAAGGTCCTGGAATTGAGTCCTGCATCGGGCTCCTTGCTCAGCAGGGAGCCCACTTCTCCCTCTCCCACTCCCCCTGTTTGTGCTCTCTCCCTCTCTCTCTCTAACAAATAAATAAATAAAATCTTAAAAAATTAAAAAAATAAAAATAAAATCTAAAAAAAAAGTTGGAGATCAAGGTGTCAGTAAAATTGGTTCCCTGTGAGGGCTGGGAGAAAGAATTCATGCTTTTCTCCTCGCTTCTGGTGTTTTGCTGGCTATCCTGATGTTCCTTGTAAAAGCATCACACATAGCATTTTGTGTGTGTGTGTCCAAATTTCCCTGTTCTATAAGGACATAAGTCGTGTTGGATTAGTGGCGCACCCTACTCCAGTAGGACCTCATCTTAACTACGTACATCTGCAATGAACCTATTTCCAAATAAGATCACATTCTGAGGTCCTGGGGGTTAGGACCTCAACATACATGAATTTGGGGCAGGATGCAATTCAACCCATAACAAATCCTTCAGAGCTGTGGGCTTTGTTTTATAATCCTGTGAATTGTGGTTATGTGATAACGATGCACAATAATTCTCCGCAGACGTGCGTGTGAATTCTGTCTGTGCAGGGACAACCCTCTCTCCCTTAGCTTGAGCTGCTATAACAAAATACCACGGACTGTGTGACTTATAAACAGCAAACCTTTATGGGGGGGAGGGACACAAATATTCAGGCCATAGTACCTCCCCAAATGTTCTGCCTCCGGTATTTTCTTCAACATTCCCAGTCTGTAAATGTGTCTGTTCTTTGATCCTCCTCTGAACAGGGAGAGCCCAGCCTCTAACACACGTACACTTTTAGATCTGTATGCGTCATGATTTTCCCGTTCTGATTTTCCCAGAGCCCATCTTGTAACAGTACTGTCCTCCAGGAAGGTCTCCTGAGCCCTGCAGGCTGGGTCGGGGTCCCCCTGGGGCTCCTGCTTCTCTGCTGCCGCTCTGGTTCTCACAGGTCTGGTGACCCCACTGGCTTTCCCAGCACACCCAGCAAGTGGCCGGGCACAGCACAGAAGCTCTGAGAGTGTTTTGTTGGCCAGGCTCTGGGCTGAGACCTTGCCAGGAGCTTCAGAGAAAAGGAACAGCCCCCCCCCCCACACCCTCTTCTGTCCTGAGAACAAAGGGGTCTCTTGTCCAGAAGTGGGGGAGGCTGGAAGAATTAGTCATGATTTTGGGGGCTGGGACTCTCCCTCTCTCTCCCCCTCTCACACACACATAAACACACACACGCACATAGACCAAGGGTAACACACAAGGACTCACCGCCCCCCCACCTGGCTACACAACTGCGCGGTCAAACAAACCACAACCCAGCCAGAAACACAATAACGCAATAGCCTACACCTCTCTAGTCTGCCACACAATGACACCAAAGGCACACCAGGACCCCTGTAGACAACAGCCGAGCCAGGGTCACGACACCTCCAAATGTGCCAGACCCAAGGGCAGCTGCCTCCACCCGTGGGAGGTGGGACACACAGCCGCGCTCCAGACACACAACAGCGTGACGCAAGGTGGATCCAGCCAGCTCCCTGGGGGGCACACGATCACAGACAAGGCAGATCCTGCAGAATGCGGCCTCGGGCGCTGACACGCAACATTGTAGGGTCACTGATGCCCGCTGGCATGGCCCTCCCCACCCCCAGCGACACACGGCTCCACCTGTCCCTGGAACATAAACAAATACGTACTATGTGAGGGCGTCGTGAGTGCTGGGAAGGAAAATAAAGCCAGGAAGGGTGGTAGGCAGGGCTGGGGCGGCAAATTTTGTAAACAGAGCGAGGAAGGCTGCTGTGTCATTCATAAGAGCAGCCAGCCCTTAAAGAGGCATGAACTGTGAAGAACCCATTTCACAGATGGGCGGACTAAAGACGCTCACCTGAGGTCAGGTGACCCTAGCTGACTTGCTGCGGAGCCTGCACTCTGAGCCGGCTTCCTATGGGCAAGATGAGAAAGGTGGGGCCAGGCTGGGCGGGGCCGGGGGGAGTTGTGAGGGACCCCAAAAGCCCCGAGGGGTGAGGGAGGCCTGAACTTCTAAGGGTCCAGGACACCCAGCCTCTGCCTTATTCCAGCCCCAGGGGAGATGATGCTCTGCTCTGAGGCTTTGTGTCCAATGTGTTCCTGGAGCTTGACAAGCCAACCCCTTCCCGTGTTTCAGTGTCTTTAACACTTGGGTGCAGGCGAGGCCAGCAGCCAGGCCACCTTCGTCTGTCTGTCTGTCATTCTGCATGGGGTCAGGGCCTCCCTGGGGCTGTGGCTCCTCCTCATGCCCCCTCCCCCCATCCAGAGAGGACCACTGAGCCCTGAGCGGACTGAGCCCCAGACTGGGGAGGACCCTGTCTCCACCATTCTTGGGACCGGCCTGAGCCAAGGCTCACTTTTTTGCTTGGGTTGTCGGTCTTCTAGATCATTAATTTATAAGAGTTCTTTATATATTCTAGCTACAAGTCCTTTGCTGGACATAATGTTTTGCGAACGCTTTCCCGGTCTGTGGCGTGCCTTCCCGGTTTTGCAGCAGCGTCTTTTGAAGAGCAAAGGATTTTAATTTTGATGAAGTCCTGTTTGTTTTTGCTTTAATTATACTTTGTCCTTTTTTGGTGTCATATGTAAGGTGTCTCTGTCAAACCTAAGGTCACTAAGATTTCCTCCTATGTTTTCTTCCGGAAGTGTTTGTGGTTTTAGCTCTTCTTTTAGATCTCGCGTTTTCTTTCTCTTATCTGGCTTCTTCTTTTTTTCTTTTAATAAGATTTTATTTATTTGTCAGAGAGAAAGAGAAAGAACACAAGTACAAGCAGAGGAAGTGTAGTAGGTGGAGGGAGAAGCAGGCTCCCCACTGGACAAGAAGCCCGATGCTTCACCTACAAAGCCACCCAGGCATCCCTCCCGCACCTGGCTTCTTATCTTGTTCAAATCAGTCACTGCCACCAGGCCTCTGAGTGGCACGGGGAGGGGGGGGGAAGAGAGAAACCGCCATGCTAACCTTCCCTGCTTGTGAGCTTGGCCTTTACTTAGCATCTGGGAAATTGGCTGATAAACATTTCCTTCCAAGATATAAAACTTCCGTAAATGATAAAGGGGTTCACCATGCCTCGGCCCTTTGTACAAAACAATATGGTTCATGCTGACACCTGCTGTCCTTCTAGAAGTCTGGAACTGGGGCACAGTCTAGGCAGATGGTACCTATGTACCAGCCCTACCCCAAATCCTTGGGTCCCGAGTCTCTAGTGGGCTTCCGTGGGCAAAAGCATTGCACACAGGTGGCCTCATGTTCGCTGCTGGGAGGGAGCCAGCACGTGGATCCCTCCAGACCGCACCTGTCCTTTCCCGTTATGATCCGCAGTATGTCCTTACTATGTCACTACAATAAATCAACTATATACTGACTCCTATGGGGTCTTCTAGCAAATCTCAGAACACAAGGGGTAGGTGGTGGTTTAGGGCCCCCAAGACCCACCGGTATCCCTGGCCAGACCCTGACGGAGAGGAAAGAATGTGGAAGAAAAAGTCAGTAAGACACAAAGCCACCCATGTTTGATTGTGTTTGGGCTTGAGGGGCCTGACCGGAATCACTCTACGAAATAAAAACCCTACTGCGCTAGGTAGGGAGAGAAGGGGCCGTTTGCAGATTTGGGGGTCTAATGCAAATTCCAAATGCATATTTCCAGCCCCTGAATTCCAGATTTTCACATCCAACTGTCTACTTGGCACCTCAAACCGGAACTCCAGATTCCCCCCACCCCCACCTCTGGGCCCCTCCTTCCCATCTCGGAATGGCAGCTCCAGTCCAGCCATAAACCTTGGCTTTCTCCTTTTCCTTGTACATCAGCCACTTATGGTGGATTTAGTCTCAAAGTGTATGCCGGGTGCATCCACCCCTCCCCACCTCCCCCTGCCAGCCCACCTCCTACTGGGGCACACTGGGGTCCTCCTGCCCCATCCTCATCGGCTGTCCCCTGCAGCCTGTCCCCCTCAAGGCCGCCAGGGGGCGCCAGGCCCACGTCTGGCAGCTCAGGCCCCTCTTCTGCTCAGAACCCTCCATGGCTTCCACAATACTCAGTCTGAGCAGAGTCATCACGGGGGACGACAAAGGGCCCACACCTTCTGATGCCTCCCTCATCTCTGGGCTTACCCCCTCACACACAGAGTTTTTTGTTTTTTCTTTTTTTAAAAGATGTTATTTATTTATTTGAGAGAGAGAGAGCAAGAACAGACGGGGGGGGGGAGAGGGAGAGGGAGCAGCCGACTCCCTGCTCAGCAGGGAGCCCGACCCCAGGACCCTGAGATCATGACCTGAGCCAAAGGCAGACACTTAACCAACTGAGCCACCCAGGCGCCCCTTTTCTTTTCCTTTTTTAAAACAGTTTAGGGATAATTCACATAACAAAATTAATCATTTTAGAGTGTGCAATTCAGTGGCATTTAGTATGTTCACAGAGCTTCTTCCTAATTTTGAAAATGATCCTTAAGTCTTGGGACGCCTGAGTGGCTCAGTCAGTTGAGCATCCCGCTCTTGCTTTCGGCTCAGGTCATGATCTCAGGGTGCTGAGATGGAGCCCCGCGTCAGGCTCTATGCCTACTGGGGAGTCTGCTTGAGATTCTCGCTCTTCCTCTCCCTCTGCCCCTCCCCCTGGCTCGCACCTGGTCCCTCTCTCTCTCTCTCATAAATAAATCAATCTTTAAAAACAATAAAAAATAATGCGGCGTCTGGGTGGCTCAGTCGGTTAAGCGTCTGCCTTCGGCTCAGGTTATCATCCCAGGGTCCTGGGATCGAGCCCTGCACCGCGCTGCTGCTGGGCGGGGAGCCCGCTTCTCCCTCTGCAGGTTCCCTCTGCTCTTGCTTTCTCATCCTCTCTCTCTCTCAAATAAATAAAATCTTTAAAAAAAATAATCTTTTTAGTAAGCTTATCGTTGCTTCTATCAACAGCTACAATTGTGAACATCGTGAATTTTCACAAAACCCATCTTGAAAACAACACACCATTTAAAATATCACAAGCATTCAAAACAATCACATTATGTAAAAACTATATGTAAAACAGGAAAGCGAACTGAGGCATTTGTTAGCACTGGGAGGGTCCTAATCCCCCTCCCCCGGCCCCTGTGATAATTTTTCTCTCTTTCTAGGCAAGTACCAGGCGCTCAGAATCCAGGCAAATCGTGGTGTGTGTGTGCATCTTTAGCCGGGCGGGGGCGGGGGGGGGGTTCATTTCCTTGCAGACCTTGGCTGATAAGAAGCAGATTTGCATCCTTAAAAGGAAAAGGCATATAAGGTTTTAAGTAGGGCTTATAGGGTCTTCCGCCACTGGGGGCAGATTAGTCCAAAGTTGCATGGAGTTCCCCTCAGGCCTCTTCCGCTCCCATGGGGCACGCGGGGCCGCCAACACAAGTGCAGGCAGAAGGAGTCAGGTGTGGCCTCTTCTGGCCAGTAGGGTACCTGAAGGAGCGACAGCAAGTATTTAGGTGTGGGCCACACCAAGGACTATGTTTGCCTCTCCGTGCGGGAGCCTACAGGCACCCAGTGCTGCTGGTGACATAGGTATTTACTCAAATGTCACCCCCTTAGTGAGACCTTCCCTGACCATCCTTTTTTTTTTTTTTTTAAGATTTGATTTATTTATTTGACAGAGAGAGACACAGCGAGAGAGGGAACACAAGCAGGGGGAGAGGGAGAGGGAGAAGCAGGCTTCTCGCGGAGCAGAGAACCTGATGTGGGGCTTGATCCCAGGACCCTGGGATCATGACCTGAGCCGAAGGTGGACGCCTAATGACTGAGCCACCCAGGCCCGAAGTGCACCTTTTTTAAGTTTACTTTTTTCTCACACAATAAAGTGCACAAATCTTTTTTTTTTTTTATCTTTTTAAGTAAGTTCTCGCCCAAGGTGGGGCTCGAACTCACGACCCCGAGATCAAGCGTCGCATGCTCTACCTACTTAGCCAACCAGATGCAAGTGCGCCAATCTTAAGTGGACAGCCTGGTGAATTTTTCATATGCGTGACACCATTGAGCCAGTTCTCGGATCAAGATATAGATCAGTTCCATTTTCCAAGCAGTTCTCTCATGCAATGTCCTCGTCAGTTTCCCCCCAAGGATCACCACACATCAGTCTGGCCTGTTCTGGAGCTTCAGGTAAATGGAATCCGAGAGCCCACGCTCTTTATATGTGGATGCACGGATCAGCGGATGCACACGGATGATACACCAATGGGTGGGTAAGTGGACGGGTGGACGGATCAATAAATGGAGAGAGAGATCCATTGTTGGATGAACAGGGTGAACTGACGCCCGCCGGCCCCTAGGGGTTCTGGGTAAGGTCTCAGCCTGGCAGTGGGGTAAGACACAGGGCAGGGGTTCCAGGGTGGGATAGTCAGGCGTGAGGCTTGACACCCCTTGCCCACAGCAAAGTGACAAGGACCTGTAGAGCAACTGTAGAGCTTCTGGCCTCGCCCCCAGGGTGACCTGGATCCGCGGCTGCCCTGTCTTCCCGCTGGTCCTCACCCTTTAACCCCTCCTGCTGCCCCCTCCAAGTCTGGGACCCCTGCTCCCCACCACTCCCTCTCTCCACCTGGTCCAGGCCCAAGTGGGTGTTTGTAACCAGCGCGGACATATTAATCAAGTCTCATCGACTGACCGGGACCTTCGAGCCTGCAACCTCAGCTCGCTGACCCGCAGACCCCCAGGAGCCCCTCTGGGCGGACCTACAGGGACTTCTGGAATCGTTCCTCCCTATTCAGGAAGCAGCGGCTTCCTCCCACCCGCGTCTAGCTTTTATCCCGCTTGTTGCAGTGTGGCCCCTTGAGGGGTCCTGAGTAGGGTGAAGGAGGAGTTAGGGTCGCATGGGAACCTCCCCCAACGGCTGGTTCTGGGCCCGGGCTCTGGGCGGCCACTGTCTCCCCCGCATCTCCACTTCCGCTTGAACTTGGGAGACGCTGCATTTGGACGGTGCCTGCCAGTCACTCAGAGAGAGGAGGACGTTAACGTTCCCGCAGGACCACGGGCGGCGCCACTAGACAGCTCCCAGCACGGTCACCAGCGGCGTCCCCCCTGCCCTGGATCCCTGGGGCCGTTCTCAGCTATCCGCCCCGGACGCCCGGCCGGCCCCCCTCCCTCCCTCAACCCCCCCTCTCCCTTCCCTCTCTCCTCCCTGGTTCATCTACTCTCAACTCCTAGAACCCACTGCCACTGCTTCAAAGCCCACCCGTACCCACAAACTGAACGGCCCCCTGCGCTCCAACCCGAGTCCAGCCACCTCTGCCTCCTCTCTGTTTACAAGCCAGATAGGAGGCTCAAGCTTAATGAGGCCAAAGTCCAACTTCTCTGCACCCCCTCGCCCCCAACCCAGTGTCCCTCCAGGTGTCCCAGACTCCAACTCTGGTCTTTTATCTCCCTCCCCTCCATTCATTCATTCTGTCTCCTCCATCAGCCAGGGAGGTGTCAGAGCTTTACTTTCTGGAATGTGCGTTCCCCAAACCATCCGTGCCCCATCTCAGTGCAGGGCATCCCCATCCATCCAAATGTTCTGCCCGGAATATCCTTGGTGTTATCCTTGATCTCCCTCTGGCCTTTGCACCAACACGACCCTCTCACCCAATCTGCATTCCACCTTCAAAACCCATCAAGAGTCTGGAAACTTCCACCGATTCCACACGGGTCCAGCAGCATCTCCCGCCTGGACTACCGTGGTGGCTTTCTCACTGGGTTCCCTGCTTCATCTCTGGCCCCCTACAATCTGTTCCCCACCCACAGTCGGAGGGACTCCTCACACGGTCCCCACGGCCTGGCATGATCTGGTCCCGGGGTGCATCAGGGGCCCCACCTTCCACACTCTCTCCTTGGTTCACTTGGTTGTAGGCAGCCGGGTCTCCCTTGCCCTTCCTGCAGTTCCCAACCCCAGGGCCTTTGCCCCAGAACTGGCTGTTCTGGCCACCTGGAAAGTTTCCCTGTGATACCCACATGGCTGCCCCCCCCTCCCATTTTATTCCTGTCTCTGCTCAGATGTCAGCTACCAGGAGAGGACTCAGTATTTTGGCTTAGTTCTTAGGTGGCTGAATGGGGCTGGGGACAGACCGAAGCGTTTCAAAGGGACTGGACAGGACTTGGGTTGGAATCTCGAATCTGAGCAAGTCTGGGCAAATCATTCCCCTTCCCTGTGCTTTAGATTCCTCAGCTGTAAAAAAGGGGGTCACAATATCCAGACACAAGGACTTGGAACAGAGACAACTTTGTACAGATGAAACAAGTATTAATTTTTTAAATGGCATTATTGCTATTAAAGGAAAGGGAGGAATCCATGTTGCCCGGTTTCTGGCCGGGGGTGGGGGGGGCTCCTGTGAGTGTCGTTGAGAGTTTGGGTCACGGGACTTTCGATCATCACTCAACATTACTTCCACCCCACCCCCAGACCCTGCGAACATGTAGAAAAGGTGAGGCACAGAGGTGTGGAGTCACCCTCAGCTGTCTTGTCTGTTTGTGCTCCCGCCTCATTCTTGGAAGGCTGGGCTCTCCAAGGGGAATGGAGAAAAACCTGGTTGGACCCAGGACTCCCGTCTGTGTGGCCTCGGGTAAACCTCTTGCACGCTCTGGGCCACCATCTCGACGGCTGGCAAATAAACACAGCAAAAAAATGTCAACTTTTCACAGTGGTTTATGCTCACTCAGACCCTAGAAAGCTCTTAGTATTTTAAAAACGATTTTCCTGAGTCTGAGAGCAATGCGTGGTTGTGTGGGGGCAGGGATCAGAGCCTAAATAGAAGCCACGGCAGGGGTTTTCACCAGGAAGGGGGTTAATACGGGGATCGGGGGCTGACGACAGCCCGGGAGGCTGGAGCGGCGGGCTCCGGGCCCGGCCCTCGGGAGCGACCCGCAGGACGACAGCACAGAACCCTCGGAGGCCGCCGCCGGGACCGCTGAGTGCAAGAACGCCCGGCCCCGGCCGTGACCCTGGGGTGTCTGCTGCAGCACCCCCCCCTCCCCCCGTCTCTGGAGGGGTCCGCCTGCCGGAACCTGCTCCGCGGCCAGAGTCCGGCTGCGGGGGCGCCGTCTCCAGCCTCCGCCGCCAGAGGTGAGGGGGGTCAGCCGGGCCCACCCGGGGTCCCCCTGCCGTGAGCAACGCGGGCGGAAACCGAGAAGGTGCAGAAACGCGATGGAAGGAGGAAGAATCTACCGCGATCCGCCTTCCCGGGCGCAGCCGCCAGCGCCTTTCTCTGCGCATGCGTTTCCAGACTTGTACGCACTGGTCAAGGTCGTTTGGCGCCCTTGGCCGGTTGAACAGTTCTCCGAGACAGATCCTAAGGGTTTCCCCAGCTCACTACACATTCGTCCGAAAGCGGACTCTTTACAAATGGCGGTGAAATGGCCCAAGTGGAGACGCCCCACTTGTAAATACCCGCGTCCTGCTCTTGCGTCTTTGGAGCTTCGGTCTCTGTTCTTAATTTCAAGTAGCGCGACAGCGGACACCTTTGTATGCATCGAGGGGTCTCCGTCCGCTTCTGAATTCCCGTTTTTAAAAAGGCTTTCTCCATTATGGAAAATTCGGAGAAGCTGGAAATAGTAAGAAGGAAAAAGAATCCCCCGGAATTCCCCGCACCCGCGAGACTCGGCGCCGGTGTGTTTGATGAGCGCCGCACGGACGGCGGCGGGTCCTGTTTGCTTCTGATCACAATGCATCTGCACATGAACACGGCCCGGTTACTACCCGCGCGCCTGTCCCCTCGGTTAGTGGCCGGGCCTGCCCGGGGCCATGACCGGCTTCCTTCCATTCTGATCTGATTCCCCCCCCCCGCCCCCACGCCCTGCATGATGCCTCTCCCCAAACTTCCGTCCGTTCCTTAGGGTAAGTTCCCAAGAGTGCAATTAGTTGGGCAAAAGGTAAGAGCATTTGTGAGGAGTGTTTGGCATGGACTGCAAGTTTCCACTTAATTTTTTTTTTCGTAACATTGTTACAAAAGCAAACACTCACGGAGCGCTTACTCTGTGCTAAGAACTTTCCCGGGGCAGACTCAATCCTTGTCATAAGGCACCATGAGGTATCATTATGTCCATTTTGCAGATGGGGACTCTGAGGTACAGAGAGGTTGAGTCACCTTCACCAAGGTCACACGGCTAGTGTCACACAGCCCCCTTTGAAGCCAGGAAGCCGGCTCCCACATCCAAGCTCTTGATGGTTCTTCCATTTTTTAGTGTCGATGGTCAGAGGCAGATCCAGATTTTGTGGTACCTGGAGCTTTTACCATTTGGGGGACCCCCTTCAGGGAAAATGTTGCAGACTGAAAAGGAGGTGCAGGGCCTTGGAAGGAACCCGTGCAAATCAATGGCCCTGACACTTGAGCTCCAGCAGCATCACGCTCAGCCCCCCCCCCCCCCCCCCGTTCTACCATTCACATGTCACTGTATTTGTTTTATGAGGCATCCAGGCCTCTGTCCACTTAACCCACCCTATTGTTCTATGCATTTCAAAGGAAGTTGCAGACATCAGCGCAGCCCTCAGCTTGCAAATCGTTTGGAGCTCAGGAGTTCAGCATTTTTTTTTTTTAAAGATTTTATTTATTTATTCATTTATTTATTTATTTGAGAGAGAAATAGCATGAGAGGGGAGAGGGCCAAAGGGAGAAGCAGGCTCCCCGCTGAGCCGGGAGCCCGACGCGGGACTCGAGCCCAGGACTCCTGGATCATGACCCGAGCCGAAGGCAGTCGCTTAACCAACTGAGCCACCCAGGCGCCCCGCATTTTTTCTTTCTCTTTGATTGTAAAGTGTAATTTATGTGCAGAAAACCCGCCCCGATGTGCCTTTGCCCCAGACCCGTGTTCCGCACGCGGGGGGACAGACGCATTTCCTTAGTCGAGGACACGGCGCGGGCTTCCGCAGGGCTGCGACTCATGTCCAGGCTGCGGGGCGCCCCTGCAATAGCTGTGAGCAGCCCACCCCAGGCACCCCCGTATTTGACGCATGCGCTGATGGCCGGCTCCCGGCGTGGAGCTTCGTCCCCAGAATCAGTTCCTGGGATTTGGGGGTCAGAGGCTGAGGCTTCAGGCTCCTTCTGCACAGCGTGGCTCTCATTGTCACCTCAGCTGACCATGCCCCAGCCCCTCCCCACCCACACGCACAAAGAGCCATTCTCCTGTCTGCACAACACTTCTTTTTATTTTTATGGGGGGGGGGGCGGCAAGAGCAGGAACAGTTCCTTAAAGCCCTGATATTTTATGGGATGTGGGAGGAAGTGGGGTGCGGGGGGGGCCCTGACATTAGTCTCTCCCTTCATCCACTTCTTTTATAAACTGCTTGCTCTATTTTTATAAACATCGTGTCCTGGAGAAACCTTTCCAAAGGCCAGGATAAAAAAGAAGGCAAGGCTAACAACACGACCAACATGGTCTTCTTCCGTCTGACAGAGGACACCTGGCACAAAGTAAAAAGGCAACAGCCTGGGAGAAACGTCTGGAACGTGCAGGACAGACTTCAAGAGCCGTTAACCGATGAAGAGCGACTCCAAGTCACCAGAATGACAGTCTAGGAGGAAAATGGCGCAGAGGTCTGGAGCAGCACGGAAGTGCCGCTGATGGTATGCACACATCTACTCGGGCCCGCTGACCACCAGAGTAAAACGACAACTGTGGGATCACACAGCAGGCAAGCTAGGAGCAAACAAGCAGCTCTGAGGTCGCTGGAGGGTAAAAACCAGCACATCCTACATGGAGGAGGATGTGACTGAACCTATCAAATGACCCTTTACATATATTTTCCCTTACAGCCCAGAGATTCACTTCCAGGTCCCTGTCCTACAGATACACGTGGAATGGCCCACGTATGATGTTCCTGCCCCGGCATGAGATGGAGCAACGGGAGCCAATCACGGCGCGGCACACTCAGTCACTGAAATTCAGGGTATGCAGCTCTAAAAACTAAGAGAAGCACCCTGTACAGGCACAGAAACTTCTCTAAGACACACTAAAAAGCAACCTATAGAACTACATGCGGTAGGACTGTAGCCAAGACATAGAAAAATTAAAACTATTCTATTTTCGTATGTACTTTTATGTATAATTTAATAGAATCACACATGGAACATACTGGAATCATTCACATTGAACTGCAGTGACAGTTACTTTTGCAGAGAAGGGAATGGGTTTGACTGGAAAACAAAGGCTCAGGGCAGTAATTACGGTGCTTTGGTATCTTTATGTCAATCAGCGATTTACAATGAGAATACAGTCCTCTGTTACTTGTAGAAAAAAGGTTTTTTTAAAAAAATCCTTTTTAAAGCGGTATGGGGAGGAGGGATTAGTTCCTTCTGATGCGCTTCAGGTCCCTCACCTTTATGGCCCCCTCTTGGGAGGGAGTCCATCTGCTTAAAGGTACAGTAGGGTGCTCGGCCAACGTCAGCAACACCCATGCGACAGGGTTATACCCAAGATCTGCCTCTCAGTCACCCGGGCAGAAAGATGTGGACTGTGTCCCGTCAGACACCCAGCTGGGATCTCCACTCCTCCTCCCCCCGGCCCCCCACCGGCCTGCAAGCCCCATCTCCTCTGCCTACTTTCCCTAAGATCTTGCCACACCGGGCTTTAGTGGAGACGAATGTTCTGGTGCTAGAGAGAGACACCGAGAGAGAGGGAAGCTGCCCCCAGAAGAGAGACAAGTCACACGGGGTGTCAGTCAGCGGTGTTTTACTGTGGGGTGGGGGCTCCGGCATCCCACGGCGGCTATAACCTGGGGGGGCAGAGGAGAGGGGACTGAGGGTGCGTGAGGGGAAGAAGGGTCCCACAGCCTCACCCCCTCAACGCCCCCAACTCTGGCTCGGGCCCTTCCATTTCCCTTTGGGGACCCTCCCCCACCCTGACTCTGGGTTCAAGGGCATCCAGCAGGCTGCCCCTCCCGGGTCTGGCCAGGGGATCCCACCGGGAAGGAAGGAAGGACAAGGGCTCCTTCTTCTCAAGCAGCTTGGAGGGGTTTCTGTCACAGCCAGGAGCCCAGTGGGCCTGGCGGGGAAGGGGACTGCCACTCACTGGATCTCACGGAACGCCCGCTTCTCCACGAGCTTCACTTTGTACTTGCGCTTAAACCTGTAGGAGGAAAGGGAGCGGTCAGGGGCCAGCAAGCCCACCAAGCACAGGCGTGAAGTTTCCCGGAGCCCTCGCTCCCCACACAGCCCCGGGGACCCTCACTTGGCTCTCTCCCGAGGCTCGATCATGTTTCTCTTCTGGAAGCTCTTGAAACGGTCGCGGAGAATGTTGCCTTCAGGCTGCGGGACACAGAGAGGGAAGCCTCAGAATGGGGGGGGGTGCTCTGACCTCTCCTCGGGGCCCAGGCTGGCCCTGCCTGAGCTGGTGGGGTGATGTGTATGGACCCCTGGGCCGCCTGGGCTAGGTTTGCAGAATCAAGAGGATGGAGGCTGCTGAAGAAGCAGAGAGAGCATGCAGGGAGGGGCGCAGCAAAGGCCGGGGGATCAGACCAACAGGGCGCACGGCTGGCCCGCTAATGAAATAGAGTTGGTTGGAGCCCCAAGGCAGGCACAGGGCCCACGGCCGCCGCGAGGAGCCCGGGGCCACTGGGAGCCACGGCAGGTTCTGAGCAGGGGTGGGACAGGGCCCACGCAGAGCTGTAAGGAGACCTGTCCAGCACCGCAGGGCCAGGACACCGGCTTCGGGACACAGCTGGGAGGAAAGCGTCTGCAGGTCACAGGCTCAAATCATCATACCAGCGGGCCCCTCACCCCCGAGGACCCCGAGCCCTCAGCCCCCAGGCATCAGCCCAACCGGCCTAACCTGGGGCAGCCATGATGTCGCCCACAGCCCCTGGGGGCACGGGGAGCAAGGATGGGTATCATCACTGGGCACGGAAGTCTCCCCTACAGCACAACACCCCAGACAGGCAAGTACCTTTAGGGTCCTGAGAGAGTCAGACAACTCTGAGCTGAGCTGCACATCGATGTCGGGGGCCTGGTACCTAGAGAACACGGGCGTGGGGTGTTCAGGGGGTCGGCCTTGCCCAGGGCAGAGTTCAAAGGCCCCACCCGGGCAGGAAGCCTTCCAGAACATGGTGCTCTGTGGAAAAGAGATGATCTTCCAGGAGGAGACCATGCAGGGAACCCCTCCCCCCACCGGCCCCCCCCCCCCCCCGGGCCTCACTTGAGCCGCCCCAGCCTCCGGGGCCTGTCGGCCTCCGCCAGCCGCTGCGCCCGCCGCTGCTCCCGCCGCCGCGCCAGCTCCGCCAGCCGCCGCGCCACCTGGGCCTTGATCCCGCGTAGCCTGAAGAGCTCCTGGTGCCGGAGCCGCGCGGCCCGCACCTCGGCCTGCTGCACCCGCTGCGGCAGGACCGGGCGGGGTCAGGGGCCGGGCAGAGCGAGGCCCCTCCAGCGCCCCCTCCCCCGACTTCACAGCAGTTTCCTGGAACCAGCGTCCTGATCCACTGGCGGCCCGCAAATCCCACTCTCCAAACGTAAGGACCAGGGCACGGACACTGGGTCTAGAACACTCCCTGCTGCATCCTGAGCCCAAGCGCTGCCAGAGCAGCAAGGGCAGGCAGCAGCCTGCGGTGCTCACCATCTTCCGGGCCGCCTTCTCCCGCCGCCGCTGCTGCTCCGTCTTCTTCTCCACGGCGGCCAGGCGGCCGGGTGCGGAGGACGCCTCGGCGCCTGCGGCCTGCTCCCCTCCGGCCTCCGCCTCGGGGCCCTTGTCTGGGCCCTCGCCCGGCTCCCCCTCCCCGTCTGACTCCTCCAGCAGCCCCTGGCACAGCTCCTGGAAGGCAGACTCCTGGGGCGGGAGGCAGGAAGCGGTGAGTTGGGGCGGCGGGCGCCGGGCGGGGAGGGGCGGGCAGGTGTGAGCTCACCTGGGTGGCAGGCTGCTCCGAGGGGGACAGGGCCAGCTGCCGCTCCAGCTTCTCCGCCTCCTTCTGCCGCTGCAGCTCAACGTCGTGGGCCGCCAGCAGCAAGGTCTAGGTGGGGAAGGTGGTCGGGTGTGAGGCCCCAGGCCCCCCAGGCCTCTCCTGGGACTTACAGACCTGGCCCCACCGCTGCACCTGAGGCCCCTCTCCACTCCCTGCGCAGCCAGGGGGTGCCCTCTACTCCCGAACCTCCTGCCTGCTCTGTCATTTCTCTTAGAGGACCGCCTGATCCCTGATCTCTGCACACAGTACGGTTTTGTTCACGCGAGACACAGGACAGACAAATCCGTAAAGACAGGAACGACAGTGGGGGCTGCCTAGGGAAGATGGGGCATGGGGGGTGGTGATGGCCGATGGGTGCCACATTTCTTTCTGGGGGGATGAAAACATTCTAACATACTGGCGAGGGCCACACCACTCTGCGGACATGCTAAAAACCATTAAACTGTGTGCAGTAAGCGGGCGAACCCTCAGGCGTGGGAATTCTACGTCTGTAATACAGTTCTGCGAAGAACAAAAGACTCGGACTGATCTTTCCACGTTGTCCCCTAGCAGCCACATCAGTCCACGGGGGAACGGACTACGGTTCGTGGCCTCCTCTGCCTGTGACCAGCCTCATCCTGCTCCCGTCTGGGGTCAGGGGGTCTGTTTCTGCGGACACCTTTCATCGGGAGCAGAACACTGCTCACTCCGCTCCTGGGGGGCTAAGAGGCCCTCTTACCACGGATGAGGCTGAGCAGCACTCGCTCGAGCGTCCTGCGTCTCAACGATCTCAATCTCGGGGTCTGCCCCCTCCGTCCGGGACACCCACCGCCAAAATACACAGTGACTCTCACAGCCAGGCGTCCCACTGCTGACCTAGCCCAGGCCTGAGATAAATCTCCCCCGCTCAGACTGCTAATATTTCTTTGAAGCCTTTTGCATCTAAGTCCCGTGGACTCCCCGAAAGGTGGCGTGGTCTCATACACCCCTGGGCCTTCGTACACGCTGTTCCTTGCACAAGCCTGAAACACCCATTCCCCTCTTCCCACAGCAAGCTCCTCCTCACACCTCTGGTCTAAACTGATACTCCCTTCCTCCAGGAAGCCCTCCCTGACCCCCAAGGCTGGGTTTGGCGACTCCTCTGGGTTCCTTCATCCCAGGCCTCTGGGTCATCACTGTCTGGGAAGAGGTCTGTCTCCCCCGCTGGACCGTGAGCCCCAGGAGGGCAAGCGGGGGGCTGCCTCAGTTGCTGCTGACTCCCCAGCAGAGGGTGGATACAGAGGAGGTGCCTGGTGAGGCCAAGCCAACCAAGCAGCCAGGCCCCAACTGAGGAGAGACCGTGTACCTGGTGGTCCTCAAAGGATGGGTTGTAGGAGGCTCCAGCCGGTGTCACCTCCACGGCAGGGACCTGGGAGGGCTTGGTGTGCAGATGTGGCGGCCGCTGGAGGACAAGGAAGCATGAAGCCTGGCAGCCCCACGACTCAAGACCTCACAAGCTCGGGTGCTGGGACTCCAGGCTTGGTAGGTAGCAGAGGCCTCGGCTTGGCCCACAGCCTTCAAACTGGGAGGTGCCTGTGGGTCTGGCATCTAGATCAATGGACCCCTGCTACCCAGCTGCTGTGCTACCCACGGGAGCCACATCCCGAGGAGAAGCAAGCTCCCTGCAGGGAGAGGCCCTGCCTGCCTTTCCTGAGAAAAGTCCCCGTGACCCTGTGGCCGGCAACGCTGGAGAAAACAGGGGTACACGGCACCTTGATTTTAGTCCCCAGTCTGTCACCCTGACACCTGCGGCAGGCTTGGGAGAGAGTGGGGGTGTTCTCTGTCATTCAGAGCAGGGGACAGCGGACAGAGGACTGGCAAAGACTCCTACTGTGGCCCCGGACCCTGCCGGGAGCTGGTGACAAATGCAGAAACCCAGCTCCACAAGGAATGAATCTGAATCCGATCAGGACCTGCACCTCAACAAGACTGAGGCAGGGGCTGGGGGGGGGGGCGGGGCGGTGGTGGCTTCCCAACTGGCCTCCGCCCCAGCAAAGGCCCTCAGTCCTCAGCAGAAGCCTGGGGGTAACCCTGGAAGCCCCCTGCCCCCACCTGCTCCCCACACCTGACCGCCCGCCAGTCCCACTGCTTCTGCCCCAGGGCGCCATCTTGGGTCCCCCCCCGGCCCCCACGATCCCGCCTCCACAGAACTGCCACCCGGACCCCATCACTCTCCTATGCAAACCCACTCAAGGGCACACTCCACACCCTGAGTGGCGCTCCCTCCCACCAGGCCAGCGTCCTCCGGGCCTCCTATTCAGCCCCGCCCCTGCGCCCTCGAGTTCCCCGCCTCAGGGCCCTTCCCTCCCGTCCAGGTCCAGGCCCAGCAGTGCCCTGGGTGGACCTGTCCATCCAGGCCTCTTCCCAGTGAAGCTTTGCTCGCCCCCTGAAGCACCTCCCGCTGACTGCCACCACCCGCTCTCTCCTCCGGAAGCACCAGCTCGAGGCCCAGCTCCTGCATGCGAGGTCTTGGCCGCAGGCGGAGACCAAGGCTCCAGGGCCCCACCCCAGCCCCCCTACGACCCATCGCCAAGGGCGCCCTGCTGCCACAGTCTCACCTTCACCCCCTTCCTCTTGGTCTGCTCCAGGAAAAAGGTGTCCTGGCCGGCCAGGGGTCGCTCCAGAGGGTCTGTGGAGGCAGTGAAGGGTGGCTGCCGGGGGCCTGCCAGTGTGGCCTGAAGGGCTCCCTCCCATCCCTCCCCTGCAAAAAGACACCACCAAAACATAGATAAGGGAAGGACTCACTCTCAGACCCCAACGGGTTTTGAATGCCAGGCAAAAGAGCATATGGACAGGTCCAGAAAGCAGAAGGAAGCCAAGGCTAAGGGGCAGGGGGCGGCCCTCAGGAAAATGCACTTGGGAAAGGGGAGCCCCTCTAAGATGTTGAATTCCGGTGAGGATCATCCAATCAACACCCGCAGAGCACCTCCCTTAAGACACTGTGCTCTTGTGCAGCGCACAACCTGCACAACCGTGCATGGCAGCCTTGTCCCCACCCACAAGTAACAACAGGGGCACTCACTGTCTTTGGCCCAGAGATCATAAAAAGGCCTCTTGATGGTGTCTTGGGGCCCAGGCTTGGCTTTGGTCGCGGGAGGGTTGAGGAGCCGGGCCTGGGCCCTGCGCACCTCCCGGGGCAGCTCGCCCTGCTTGGCCAGCTTCTCCCATAGCTGCTCCTTCCGTTTGAGTTTCCTGGCATTGGGGACCTGGTGGGCAAGGATGCTGGGTGGAGGAGAAGCAGCACAGGTGGAGTGAAGCAGAGGCCTGAGAAAGGGCCCAGCTCCTCCCAGTCGGGCTCTGCACCCCCACCACTCAGCAGCTCCTCCTGCCTGACTTTACTCCTCTGTGCTTCCAAAATGAAAACCTTAATGCCTCCCACCCAGCTTCAGAGCCCATCTCCTGACCCGAGAGCCAACAACACGGCGGCCTCGGCAGCCCTCACCCTGCGGATCTCCCAGGAACCTCACACATCACTTCAAAACCGACCTCAGCTTCGCCCCCGCAGCCGTTCCTCCCATATCCCCGTCTCAGGAGCCGCCCTGTCCACCCCGTCACCCATCCAACCCCCCCTCCTTCAGAGCTGTCACTCAGCCAGCCTGATGGACCTCCTGACGGCTCCCACCCATCCCTCCTCTCCATCCCCAGAGCTCCCGGCTGGGCCGAGGCCCCGTACTTGCCTGCTTCAGCCACAACACCCCGGCCCCCACCTCATTTCCTCCCATCTACCCCCCAAAGCCCCAATCTCACCCCATCGCTCTCCTCCAAGTGACGCTTACATGACCCCCTCCCTCCCTAGGAACTCCCTTAGGGCCAGAAGTGAGTGGCACTGCTGCACAGAAGGGCACGATGCCAGAGTCCGGCAGGGAAGATGGGTCTGGGGGTGGGGGGACACTCACTCTTTGGGGGCAGGGACCTTGGACGTGTTCTCTAAGATGAGGTCAACACGAAGGGGTTTCTTGAGAAGAAGTGACCTTTTCTGGCTTTTGATCCTCCTCTTGTTTGGCTCTGGGGTTGGGAGAAAGGCACGCAATCAAGGGCTCTGGCCTCCTTGCTTCCCAAGACCAACTTCCCCACCCCCTGCATTTCAGCTCCACAGCAGCCATCAGACCCGCATCCTGGTGCAGACACGGAGGCCCCAGGCTGGCCCCAGGCTTCCACCTGGGGAAAGAGGTGCCCAAGGTGTCCAAGCTCTGCCCTGCCCCCCAACACACCCATTTCCTGGGCCACCTGGAGGAAGCCCTGTGCTGGGAACAAAGACAGCGTCAGACCCACAGCCCTGCCCTCTAAGGACTCCCGGACAAGGCAGGAAAACCAGGAATGCTAACGAGCAAGAAGGGACCAAGTGACACTGAGGCCCAGGGAGCTGGACTCAGGACCGATCCAAAATGGCTGATTCTCAGCACAACAGTTTTCCACCTTCTTTCACTTGATAGCAAAAAGCAAACTCCAGGACCAAATACACTAGGACAGAACCCACGTCCTTTCAATTCCTAGGCTACATCACAGAAGACTTTACTCCTCTGTCCTTCCAAAATGAAAACCTTAATGCCTAACGCACGGGGTTGTCTGGAAAGGTAATGACGACAACAGCATGAGGCACCGTGATCACCTGGGAAAGCCCACAATCACTATTATCTTTCTTTTTCTTTTCTTCTGTGTCCCCAGGACCTGAAACTAAGAGCCACGAGTCAGTCAGTTACGTGCCACTGGAGCTGCTGTCCCACCAGAACCGAGCCCGTAAGCCACAGCCAGACCAAAAGGCTACGAACACTGCCTGTACCTTTCCTTTTTAAGCCGAAAGCAGAACCTATAAACTGCCTCTCCTCTGTTCCCAAACAGACCTCATACTGGCCAAAGCAGGCCTTTGTGACTACCCTACCCGTTCACTAGGGCAGGTCCCGCCTTCCCCTTGCTGTTGCACGCCAGATCGGCTCACTCCTGTGAAAGGTGACCTCTTCAATAATCATCTCTCACTCACTTGCCCAAAGTCTCCTGCACCTCGAAGCAGGTCCCTTTCCCGCTCACTGAAACAGGCCCTCTCACGTTCCAGACCCCTGGAGTGAACCCAAACATGCTCCCTAAGGGCATCCTGCTGTTAAAGCCCCTTGCCATTTGCTCATTAAAGCAGACCCTTAGCTTGTTTTCTATCCCCTCATTAAAGCGTTGGTCTATTTTTGGTTTGTTTTTCTACCTACTGATGGAAAGCCTATCATTCGCTCAAGCCATCCCTAACTCCCCTCTCCTGTACTCTGTTTCAGCAGCAACCCCCCCACCCCGGCTTTTTGGCAAATAAAAGCAAGCAGATTAAGACGAGCTTCTTATCTACTTTCCTATTACCTACTCGTTAAAGCAGATCCTCTTATTCTTATTCAAGCACATCTTACTAAAAGAGGTCTCATCCCTTACAGCTTTTCTGCAAGTTAAGAAGAGGCCTGCTAATTTACATCTAATCTATTCAGGGGCAAGACCCCCGCTGGCTTCTGTGTGCCAGATGGAGACTTGGGAATTGCCAGATTGAAGACTGAGAGCCCGGAAACCTCAAAAAGAAAATCTGACTTGTTAAGTCTTTCATTCCAAGCCCTCTTATTTATAGTAAAGGCCTTTCCTAGCGTATGTCTGCCGTCCAAGCCATGTCAATAATAAACACTGTCTCGGAGACCGAGATGGACTAAATAAGGGCCAAGCAGGCACCACCGAAAGCTCTTCCTCACCTTTTTTCTTGGAGCCGGTGTCCACGAAGAAGAGTTTCTCATCCGGGGCCTCTGATACCAAGCCACTGGGAGACAGGAATGCAGAATGTCAGCCAGAGACGTTGGGGAGGGTGCAAGCTGCTGGGGAGGGAGGTTTAACCTCTCAGGGGCCAGGCTCTCCTCTACTACTATGCTCATTCAAGCACCTTCTTCCCGCCATGGGATTCCCTCCACGCTAAAGCTTCTCCCTTCAAATCACAGAACTTAGTACTTAACAAATCATAATGCTTAAAATATCGTAATATTTAACTCTCAGCGCTACGCTAAGGTGGGTGCACGGGGCATACTTACACTACAATTATTACTTACTTCCCTGAATTCTAATTGAACATTGGGTATTCTGTATCGAGTGACCCGACCAAGTCCCCAGACCTCACCCCAGAGTCCAGTGGTGGCCGAAACACACACGCGCAGCCCCCCGGAAGTCCCCCCAAGCACGCTCGGCCTCGCACCCGGCCACTCGGACCGAGGCCCGGCTCCCGGAAGTCCCGCCCCACGCACCCGCTCGTGCGCTCCTGCAGGCGCACGTCCTCCAGGAACTGGTCAACTTCTAGCCCCAGCGGCTCCTGTGCGAGCCGCCGCCAGCCTCGTTTCTTATTTCTTGGGCCTCGCCGCCGCCGCCTCAGCGCCGGGTCCACCGAAGTGGGCCGCAGTCCCAGGAAGCCGGAATCGGCCTCGCTTTTCGAGCAATGCGTGCCGCCGCCGCCACTACCTCCCGGCGCCATCTTGGCAAAGGAAGCATTCGGTCGCCTGCGCCCCGAAAGTCGGTTTGTGGCCTGCGCGCGCGGATCTCCCGCCCCCTCCCGTGACGTACTTCCGGTCACCGCCATCTTGGTAAAGTGTCTGGAACCGCCAAGGGGCGGGGGTAAAGGGTAAATGTCTCCTCCCTCTTATGCAAATTCCCGTCGGCCGCGGGTCGTGGGTTGGCGGCTTCGCGGCTCTAGCCCTGAGCAAACACCTTTACTCCGGCCCAGGAATATTTTTAAAATCTGCGTATGTTTTTAATCTGTAACTTATTATTTTTAGTCCAACTGTCTTAAGAAAATCAGAACCGTCGGTGGCAGATTCGGCCGAAGACACGCTCCAGTCTGAGAACGTTCGGCTTCTCAGTGTTCCGATCCTAGAATCTTGGAAATCCAAGAGATTTCCGAATGTCGAGTTGGGAGCACAGAACCTCATATTTGCGAGGAGTGTTAGAAACATGCAGTGTTGGCAGTGTAGGATCGGAATCAATCCTGGGCAAACTGCTTGGCTGTGCCTCACTTTCCTCATCTGTGAAATAGGGACGATTATGGTACATCAACCTTATAAATTATTCAGGAGAGGAAACGAGATAAACGCACGATGTTTAAGGTTGTGCGTGGAGGATGCCTGAGTGGCTCAGTAGGTTAAGCGTCTGCCTTGGGCTGGGGTCATGATCTCGGGGTCCTGGGATCAAGCCCCCAGTTGGGCTCTCTGCTCAGCGGGGAATCTGCTTCTCCCTCTCCCTCTGTGCTTTCTCTCTCTCTCTGAAATAAATATAAATAAATCAGTCTTAAAAAAAAAAAAGATTGTGCCTGGTATCTCAGTGTTAGCTATTGTTACTGGCTCGCCCCCTGAGGTTTCATCTTAGAATCAACTAATCTTTGCTGTTTACAAATAAGGAAGGAAGCTCGGAGGCTCTTGGGCGCTGGCAACCATTCATAGGGATCCAGGGCTGCCTACAGGCCGCTCTGGACGCGAAAGGGAAGAAGGCACGGAGAGGGAGGGCGCCACGCCGGTGGTCGCACAACGGAACCCACTCGGGATCCTCGCGACCCGCCCTGGAGCCCCGAGCGCGGACCGCCTGGCTCGGGGGTTTCGGCGCGCAGCCCGCGCGGTTCCCGAGTGCCCGCCAGGGGGCGGTGGGAGCCGCGAAATTGGGAGAGCGCGCGTGGGCGGGAAGAGCGAGCGGTCAGCGGGTCCCCGCGGCGGTGGGTGTGGTCGGGGGGCTCGGCCCGCGGTGTCCGCAGGCCGAGGCCCCCGGGCGAGGGCGCGCGCGCGTGCGCACACATGGTGGTCCCTGTGGGCAGCGTCACCTCTCCTCCAGGAGCCCGTTGGTCCCTGGTGTTACGTGTCAGGGGTGGCGTCCCAGGTGGCGCACGCTGGCGGTTGGGGCGGAGGCACGATGTGCCCGAGCTCGCGCGCACACAGCCCCACGCCCCAGGGCCTGGTTCCCAGGCCCCCGCGGCGGGAGGTGGGAGGGAGGGATGTCCCGGAGGGAGGGCCCCTGAGTAACTTTTCTTCGGAAAATATGTCGATCTGGCCCCCAGCCCAGGCCTGAGTCATCAGGCTCTGCTGCATTGAGTCATGGCCTCCACCCCCCGCCCCTGGGACCTTGGAGGGGACCCCCCCAACCTCAAGCTCTGCCCAGGGCTCTTTTTCCCCCAGAGTCCGGGGAGAGCCATCCCCAACCCCCCGCCAACCCATCCCAACACGGCCTGACTTCCACGTGGCTAGAAGCCTTGGCTTTATTTGCTCTGTGGGAACGTTCGCTGTTCGGTTCACAGGCCCCTCCTCGGCATGGCGGTGGGGGGGGGTGATGGTGGGTGTGGAAATCCCCGCGAGCATCGTGGGGGGGGGGCGTCGTCCCCACCTATGTCACCCTTCCCCATCTTTTCCATGGGGTTCCCCACCAGGGTCAAGCACTAATAAGTGGTGAAGGTACGGATGGGTGGAGGGCGGGACGTGAGGGGTCCCTTTAGGGAGGAGAAGGGAGAGCTGTAGCACCAAGAGCCCCCCCCGCCACGCATCCCTGAAAGGGGGACTAAAATAAAGCCCTGGCGCCTTTATATCTGGTGGGGGCTCTACTTAAATATGGGCTGATGGCAGAAAGGCTGTGCTCCCGCAGTCTACAATTCAGGCCACCAGCTGTGGGGAGCCTGGGGCGGGGGCAGCCAGGCTGGGTTTTCAAACCAGGGCCCTGTGGGCCGAGGCCAAAAATACCTCAAAGTGGGCAGAGTCTGGGCGAAGCAAGGATCGAAGGGGCTTTTCTGTCTGCTAAGAATTCTTAGTACAGAAAGGGGTGTAACCAGAACTGGGCGGAGGGGCTGAAGAGGGGTCCCTCCGACGGAGTAGGAGGTTGTGTCTCCCCTCTGAGCCCCCAGTGGTCCCAAGGCCTGAGAACAGGATGGAGTTTGGGGGGAGGGGCGGTCCTTGCCCGGATGGGCAAGAAGTGGGGAAGGGGGCCTTTGTGTTTGTTATTTCAAACAAGGGGCCACTGGACTATGGGGAGAGGCAAGGGGTCCTGCCCAGAATTGGGGATCGGGCTGGTTAGGGCCTGTGTCTGTGTGTGTTTGTGTGACTGCGTGGGTATCAGCCCCTTGAGGGCAGATACACGTGTCTGTTTTGCTCTCTGGGGTACTCCCCAGTGCCCAGAACAAGCCCTGCACATCCAAACATAGTACGTGCTCAATAAATACTTGAACGAACGATGACTGAATCAATGGCTCTGTGCGTGTGTGTGTTAATGTCAACGGGATGTGCCTAAGTGTACGTGAGGGTAGAGATGCAAGGCCAGGCAGAGAAGCCTTGCCCCTCCCCTGGTCCCCACTGTCTGGCAGAGGGGAGTAGAGAGACCCCCATCCTTACAGCTGAGAAGGTGGGCAGGCAGCGTGCGTGCAGGCTGGGGCGGGGGTGTGCGTGCAGCCAGCTGGTGCTGGGGAGCCACAGCAGGGCAAGAGGGAGGGAGGGCCGGCAGGCAGTGGCTGGCTCACTCTGCAGAGCCCTTGTGGCGCCGCTTGGAGGGCGGCACCAGGCGGCGGGGCAGGTTGGTGGGCAGCCCGTGGCCCTCGAGCTTGGCCTCGATGAGGTGGCTGGCCAGGGCGAACTCCTCGTCATCCAGCATGCCGTCCCGGTCGACGTCACTCAGCTTCCAGATGCGCCCCAGCACCGAGTTGGGGAGCTTGGTGCCCACCATCCAGGTCTTGGCCTTGGTGCCGCTCAGCTTGCCATCGGCGGGCGCCAGGTTGTAGAAGATCTCGTCGTACTTGGACTTGTCCTTGGTCACCACCCACTCGGCCTCGTCGTCCGAGCCCTCCTCGCCGTCCTCCAGGGCCTCATCGGGCCCCCGCTCCACGAACGGGCCCATGTGGGTGCCCTCGAAAGCGCCGCCCTGCACGCCCACCTCGGTGCTCTCCAGCTCTTCCTGCCGCAGGAGGGGCATGAGCTTGGCGATGTCGTGGGTCAGCATCTCGTCCAGGGCCTCCAGCAGCTTTGGCTTCAGCGAGTGGAATTTGGTGAAGTCGTGAGCCATCAGCAGCTCCTGTTGTGGGGTGAGGTGGAGAGGGGAGCACTGGGAAGTCAGGGGGCACCGTCCTCAGGGCCCCCCAGCCCATGGGGGCAGTGGGACCCTTGGGCAGCTCACTTGGTAGCAGGTCTCGGCTGAGAGGTGCGTACCTGTGCAACCCATTTCACTCGGGCACCCACCACTCAGAAGAGACTAGGACAGCGGGGTCCCAGGGGCCCTCCCCCTGCCCCAGGCGTGCCCCCAGGATCACTGACGGTAGGGATGTACGTGGCCCTGTGAGGACTTAGAGCAGTAGCTGTTTACCAGCCCGCAGAGGATTTCAGTATTCCGACAGTGGCCCCAGCCTTACCCAGCACAGCCCTGGGTCTGCCCAGCCTCTGGGGTACCCCAGCTGCAGCTGGCCGGCACCCCACCACCAGCCCGTTGTGCAAATCGAGAAAATTCCATTCCTGCTGCTCCATTAGCTCTGTCACCCCACTCCACAGAAACGGGTGAGTGGCTTGCTGCCAAATTTGGAGGTTAGGTTGGGGATGGCCAGATTATTAGGAGCTCCTGGGACAACCCTCCCCCTGCCCCCCTCCCCCCACCCAGAAGTCATCCTGTGCTAGAGCAGCTGTGGGGCTGGATTTGTGGTCACGCTGCTTCTCCCCTGCGGCCGCTCTGAGTCACCTGCACCAGGAGACTCACAGCAAAGACCGATCTGGTTCATGGACCCACACTGATTTCCAGAGCCGAGGCAGAGAGGCCCGCTGATCTGGATATAAAGGGGTTGGCGGGGGGGTGTCTGGACTCCAGGGCCAGCCTGCCCAGGTCCCAGCCCAGTTCTGCCACTTAGGAGCTGTGTGCCCTCAAGCAAGTGACTTCACCTCTCTGGGCCTCAATTTCCACACGTGTACAACGGATCAATAACATTAGTGCTCCCCTCTTGGGGGGATGGGAAAGGCTAATGAAGTCATCTGGATAAAGCGTTCCAGAACTGTCAGTGTAATCTTACCAGCTGCTGTTTATCTAGCCCAGTGGTTCTCAGCCACGGGAGATGTTGTCCTTCCCCAGTGGACACTTGGCAAGATGTAGCCATTTTTGATTGTCACCAGCTGGGGGAGGGGTGTGCTACAGGCACCTAGAGGTCAGGAGGATGCAAACATCCCGCAATGCACAGGACACCCCTGACCACGAACACTCGGACCCCAAATGTCAGTAGCGCTGAGGTTGAGAACCTTGACCTAGCCCCCAACTCTGTGCCACACACTGATCTTAGGGGGCTGCAAGCACTGGCGGATTCAGCACCCACAGCAATATGTACTATGACAATGCCCATTTCCCAGTTGAAGAAACTGAGGCTCGGGCAAGGTGACTTGTCCAGACTCACAGAGCTAGTAAGTGGCCGAAGGGAAATGCACTCTGCCAGAATTCCTCAGAGTCTTGGGTTAGAAACCATCTCAGACCCAAAGGTCACAGGCTTGGAGTATCAGCCTAATGTAGTCTCAAAACAGAGGCTCAACCCCGGGCTGGGGGGGCTAGTCCCCGCCTCCTCCACGCCTGAGCCTGGACCTCTGTCCCCATGTTTATTTGGTCCCTCCTGCCCCGCCCCCCTCCAGTAGCTCCAGCAGCTCTTCATTCACCCCCTGCCACTGCACCCACACCCAGTGCTCTCCCCAACACTGGTTAATCCTAGACCTGGACATGCAAGGGGTCCCCCCATTCCCATTTGTTCCTTCATCCTCAGCACCGGAATCCCTGAACATTACCTGGACACCTGGACACCTAGAAGGAAGACTACACTTTCCAGCTTACAGCCAGCCTTGGCCATGTGGCTACCTTCTGGCCAAGCGGATGTCAGTGTACCTTGTGGACACAACTCTAGAATTGTCCTTTCCAATACGGGAGCTACGTGTGGTTATTTAAATTTAAATTAGCTAAAATTAAATAAAATCTAAAATGTCAGTTTTAATGGGGCTAGCAGCTACCATATTGCAAGGCAGAGCACAGAACATTTCCATCATGGTAGAAAGTACTATTGGACAGCACTGTTCTAGAAAATGTCCTTAAAGACAGAGACTGTACAGGTAGCTTTCCCTCCCGTCTCCCTCATCCCTTCTTGCTGGCTGGAATGCAGACAAAATGGCTGGAGTTTTGGCAGCCATTCTGTACCACGCGGGGATCTTGGAACTGGAGGCGGGGCATGGAGGAGAACTGAGACAGAGGCGGACTTGGTCCCTAGCTCCGTAAAGCACCAAACCAGCCCTGGAGCACCTTCTAGGATTTTATGGAGAAAAACAAACTTCCGTCCTAATGAAGCCACGGTTCCTTGGGGTTTTCTCTTCATTCCCTTGTCCTAACGCACAAAACCATGCTCTTATGGAACCATTTGCAGGAGGTGCTTTCCAGAACCTGCCCTCCATCCCTCCCATTTTTGAGGGCCCACCCGAAAGCCCACAGAAGCTGACCCCTTCCGCCTCCCTCCCGGGCGACCTCCCACCTGCATCTTCTGGCAGTCCGGGAAGTCACCGGGAGATATGTGATGCTCTAGCTGGATCTTGGCAAAGATGACGGGCAACTTGAGGATCAGCTGCTTCTTCTTGTTCTCCTTCCCAAATACGGAGGGCATCTCCTTCTTCAGGTAGCTGATGATGTACGCGTGAACCTGCAGGAGGAGAGCGCTCACCTGAGCCTGCAGCACCATCACCCGGGGCCCCCACACCTACAGCTCCTGATTCGCGTGGCCCAGAGGGGGGCCTGAGAATGTGCATCCCGACCCTTACAGGTGAGTTGCTGCTGCGGCAGCCAGCAGCCGAGGGCAGAAGACCTCCCCCCAATCTGCATACCGGCCTGAGCCTGTCTCTGGATTGCCTTGTCCACATTCCTGGACAGCTCGTCTGATGCCCAGCGGAATCTGGGCCCGGCCCCCAGAGCTGTGTCACCCTCAGCTGTGCCCATCGCGGGAACAAAGGGCAATCCCACCTGCTCCCTCCCCGGTTGAGGCCAGACTTCCCTGAAACCTTTCCTGATTTGATGCTTCTGACTCCTCACCAGCCGCATCCAGCCACCAGCGAGCCCTTTGCCCTTTGCCTCCTACATCTGTCCGCTCTGTTTTCACTGCTTTGCATCTCGGGGGGCCACCACCCCCACCTCCCCACACCTGCCTGGGGAGACACAGCAGGCACCCCACTGGTCTTCTGGCTTCTCTTGCCCCTACAATGCCTTCTCCAGGCAGCGGCTGGAGAGGTCTTTTTGTTTTTTAGGAACAAACACCAGATCATGAGACACTGCTCCAAAGTTTCGATTTGCTTCTTATCCAAGTACAAAATTCTGACCATAGCTGACAAGTCCCTACAGCAGCAATTCTCAAAGTGTGGTCTGGGGAACCCCAGGGATTTCCCCCCACCCACCCCAGCCTCTTTCAAGGGTTCACATAGTCAAAGCTATTTTAATAACAACATTAAGGTGCTATTTGTCTTTTGTGCTCCCGTTTCCCCCCCAGGGGACAGTGGAGTTTTTAAAGGCAACAGGATGCATGATAACCGTAACTGAGTGCAGGAACAGATGTGCAAAATCCAGAGGTCTCCTTCGAAGCCAAACATTAAAGAGATTTGCAAAAATGTAAAACCAGGCCACTGTCCTCTGGAATTTTTTTGTTGTTGTTGTTTGGAGAGAATTTTCATAAAACGTATGGGACTTAGGTTACCAAGTCCTGGGCTTATGGTTATTTAAAAACTGATCTTATAATATCTATTATCCATATTAATTAACATAAATTGAACTCTCATAACTCATCGATAACATTTATCATCAATAAATTGCTACTTATTAATAGTTAAATGGTTATTGTTGGTTAAGCAATATTACTAGATAAATATGAAACATTTTCTCAGTTTTAACTTCTGGTATGGCCAATGTAGACAGATTCAACCCATGTACCTACACACTCTTTGGGGCGCTCAATCATTTTCAAGAGTGTCGTGAGCTCCTGTGACTGGAAGTTTCTCCAGAGTCTGGCTCCTGGTGTTTCATCCTGCATCCCCCCTGCCCCGCCTCCGTGCCAGCTTCCTCACCTGCCATCCTTGCCCCAGCATGCTAATATTTTTCTTACCACAGGGCCTTTGCACATGCCACTCTCTGCCTGCAGCCCTGCTCTGATCTCCCCAAGCTGGCTCTCTCAGCTTCCTTTTGATGTCACCTCCTCACGGAGGCCATCCTATGAGAAGCAGGTGCCCCAACCACCACCATCTAATTATTTTCTACCGTCACTTCCCTGGCCCCCAAAATGTTTATTGCAGCCCATCCTTATTTTGTTTATCTGGTGGTTTACTTATTCTGCCTCCTTCCGTCAGAATGTGAGCTCCAGGAGGGCTGGGACCTTATCTGTTCCCTCTGTCCCTCTGCACCGGCACGGTATGCACAGAAAGCACTCAAGAAATACTTGCGGAGGGAAGCAATGAACTTGGGAACCTTTGAGCCCCAATCTCCAGAGTTATCAAAAAACAAACAAGGAGGGCAGAATCATGAACATTTGCATTTTTGAACTGGAAGCTCAGTAATTAACTGCATGTGCTTAAATAAAAATAGACTATATCTGGATAAAGACACAAGAAACTCCTCATGGGGGCTGCCTCCAGGGAAGAGGCCCTGTGAGCTGGTGGGGGGTTGGGGGGAGGATCAGGGCTGGGAGGGAACATGTTTAACCGAGCTTACATGCTTTACCGTGAGATGGTCTTAAAGGTTCGATGGAAAACACTTGTTTGAAAGTTCTCTTAATGAATCATAGGTTTAGAATGCTAAAAATTTTGGTGGTCCCTGGCTGGTTCTGAATCTTTATGTCCCCCCACCTCCACCACTCTGCCTCCTCCAGCCGCCCTGGGCTCCTTGTGCGGGCCTGTTCCTGCCTCAGGGCCTTTGCACTTACTGTTCCCTCCTCCTGGTAGGGTCTCCCCCAGACCTCCACTCTCCCTCCTTCAGGTCTCTGCTGGGAGACCCTCCCTGACCTCCTTAAAACAGTCCCTCGCCAATCTCCTTTCCTGCTTCATTTTCCTTCCTGATCCTTATCACATACAATACTGTATGATATTATAGATCCATTTGTTTAATATCCACTTCCCCAGTGAAAAGTAATTCTACAAGAAAAAAAACAACATTAACTCGATTGTTCCCTGCTGTATCTCCAGGGCCCCAAACAGTGCGGAAGCACGTTGTAGGTGCTCAGTAACTGTTTGTTGAATGAATGTCACTGAGCCGCCTCAGAGAAGCTCGGTAAGAAGACCTAGGGCACCTTGGCCTCTTTAGTATCGGACTCTCTCAAGATCTTGGCCTCAAATATCTCAACACAGTGAAATCGCCCCTTCTCGCCGTTACCACTTCAACCAAAGGACGGAGCCAGGTGACTCATCCACACCCTATATCGTACAGACAGGGAAACCGAGACACCGAGGGGTAGTTACCCAGAGTCCAGAAAGGCCCTGTACTTTGGGGGAGAGAGTGTGGGGAGGTAAATGGTGTGGACTGTTGTTTGATGGCCAGACCAAGTGTGGTGGCGGAATCACACGTGGGGAATGAGTGGGTGACACGGAGCAGGGGAGGGGCAGGGAAGCTCGGTCACAGTTGGACCCTGGGTGAGGGGCACTGGGGAGCCACAGATGGATCCGAGGGAGGGAGGGGAAGGAATGGTCGGTCGATAGGTGTGGAGGGGTTAGCGGGGCAGAGGCGTGGCCAGGCTGGTGGGCGGGACCTGCGAGCGCGGGCCAATGGGGGCGCGGGGGCGGGGCCTAAAGTGGCTCCTCGGGGACCCAGAAGAGGGAAGGCGGGAGGGCGCTGATGGCTTTTCCAGAGAGGAAGCGGGGGAAGGTGCCAGGAAGAGATAAGGTGGGAGGGCGGGCTGGGCCGGGGCGCGGGGCCCGGACTCCGGGGTTTGTCCGGGTTTCCGGAGCCGCCTCCTGCCCGGCGGGGGCACCAGGTGTCCGGCCCGACCCCGCCCCTCTGTCCCACGGCCCTGGGCCCCAGCCCCCGCCGCTGTCTGCGTCCCCGAGGGGCCGGGGTTCCGTGGGGGACGGGGGCGAACCGGAGGGGGGCGGCGCTGAGAGGGACACGGAGGAAGACAGAGGGCGAGAGATAGAAAGACAGGCGGGGAGATAGAAGGAGAGAGAGAAAGGAGAGAGGGACAGAGAAGGAGGGAAGGGGAGGGGAAGAGCCCGAAGAGAGGACGAACGAGTAAGAGGGAGAGAGAGGGACGCTGTGAAAGAGGCAGAAATGAGGAGAAACACACAGAGAGAGAGACAGAGACACAGAGACGGTGCAGAGCCCGGGTGGGGGGGGGGAAAGGTGGACTCCAAGGCTCTGAGCCTCCAGAGCCTCAGAGCCGTCCCTGCTGGGCCGCGCCCTCCCAAGGAGGATTCCTGGGGTGGGGGTGGGGGCCCTGACTCACCCCCTCTTTGCTGCTCCTTAAACCAACACCTCAGGCTCCTCCACCCCCCATAACCTTCTAGGCCTCCCTGCCTGCCCAGCTTCCTGCCCCACCTCCACCCTGGCAGCCTCCCCTATGAATGTTCCATTTGGCCTCCAAAATCGCTCTCAGACCAGTGCTCCCCTCCCCCTCCCAAGGCCCTGTTGGGATCCAGGCTCCTCCTTGTTCCTCCGTCCCCAGCCTCCTCCATGGTCTCTGGCCCCAGTTTAACAGCCCTTGAAACCACCCACCAAAAGGCAGCCTGAGTAGGACCCTGTCCCTCCTCTGCTCTGAACCCTTGCATGGCTCCCCAGTACCCTCAGGACAAAGCGCAGGTTCCAGGCCACAGCCCTGGGTGGTGTGACTCCCACCTCACCAGCCTCAGATTCAGTTATTTGCACTGTCTACACATTTTCCCTCTCTTCCTTGAAACGGGCCACGTTCTCATCTCCGGTCCATGCACTTGCTGGTCCCACCGTCGAGAATTCCTTCCCCTCCTCACCCTCCTTTTCCTCCCATTTGCAGCTCTGATGCCCTCTCCTCCAAGAAGTCTGCTGCCCCAATCCCCCCGGGGCTCCCCAGGACCGGCCCTGACCATGCTGGGTCATCACTGTCTGGGGATGGGTCTGTCTCCTCCCCTGAACTGCCTTGGTCACTGCTGTGTCCTCAATACCTCCCAACACAGGGCTGGGGACAGGGGAGACTGTGTCGAACGAGACTGTTGTTTCAACGGTATTCGTTCCATAAATATATACGGAGCACCAACTCTGTTCCAGGTTCTGGGGATACAGCAGCGAACAAATTCAGACGTCTCTGATTCTGTGAAGCTTACATGTGAGTGGAGACAGGTAGTAAACCCAGAAACCCAATGAATGGATGATGTCCGGCCAGGCAGCAATGAATGCTATGAAGGAAACTACAACAAGGATAAAGCAAGACTCACATGACGGGAGTGGGGAGGGAGTTATAGTCATAAGGAGGGAGGGCAGACAGGGAAGCCTTCCGGAGCATGTGGAGCAAAGAGGAGGTGAAGGAGGTGGGGAGCGAGCCAAGTGAGAGAGAGGCCGGGGCGGGGGGGGGGGGGGGGGGGGGGGCTGTTCCAGGAAGAGGGAACAGTAAGTGCAAAGGCCCTGAGGTAGGAGCGAGGAGGCCAGCGTGAAGTGCAATGGATGATGGGAAGGGAGTGGAAGAGCAGGACGGCGAGGAAAAGCGGCATGGAGGGGGAGGGGGAGGGGGAATGGGATGGCTGTGGACCTCACCGCAGCCGCGGGTGGCTTGTGCGCAGAGGTGGGCCATGATACAATGTGACTGGTGGGACGTGGATGACAGGACACAGAAGAGACAGGGAGATGCGGAAACAGAATGATAGATGCGCAGCAGCAGGGGGATAACTCCCCGTGCCATTCGGCTCCCCCCACTCCACCTTGCGCCGGAACGACCCAGCCTGGAGGGCTCTCTTAGACTGGTGAACTAAGTCATCGGAGAGCCCCTAAGCCAGTGAGACCGGACGGGAGGCAGGGCAAAGGGCAGCCCCCGCCTCCGCGCTCCAGCCCCGCCCCCGCCCCGCCCCCACCCCCGCCCCCACCCCCGCCCTCCCGCGCTGCTCACCCGCACCAGCCGGGCCCTCTTCACTAGGTCGTTGAGCTTGCGCAGGGCGGCGTGGCGGGGCAGGCCCTGGATGTCGCGGAAGAGGTCCTGCTCCTCCAGCTCGAAGAGGCGCCGGTTGTCGGGCACCAGGAGGGGCTGGGACCAGAAGGAGCCGATGTAGACGCGCAGCACCTCGGGCGTGCCCACCACCTTGCCCAGCGCCCACATGAGCGCCCCGTAGACGCGCATCAGCTGCTGGGTCTCAACCATGTCCGCCTTGTTGAGCACCACGCGGATCTTGTCCTCATGGCCCCGCAGGGCGCCGATGGCCTCGGAGAACTCGTCGGAGATCTCCAGCTTGTGCGCGTCGAAGAGCAGGATGATGAGGTCCACGCGCTCCGCGAACCAGCGCAGCACGGCCGGGAAGTCGTAGCCTGGGGGGACGCAGTGGAGGCGGCACGAAGGGCAGAGGTCAGCCCCACCCCCCACCCCACCCCGCCCTCCAGTCTTTCGCAAGCATCCATTCCCTTGGAGGGATAGCAGACCGTACAGACGTTCAGGTTGTTAACTTTCCGAAACCCTTCTCTGGGCAAAATAGCCAAGGGCCCAAGAGTATCCCATGGCTCTGCCCCCGTCCCCCCAGGCCCCAGAATTACCTCATCACTCTGGCCCCAGGCCCTCAGGCCACCTGGCTAGAGGGCTATCGCCCGCCCCCTTTTCATTCATTCCTTAGGCAGATATTAGTAGCGAGCACGGGTCCGGATGTACAGGTTGTTAAAATACTGAAGTGTTTTTTTAACAGACTCTTTGTGCCTCTATGAACCCCACCCCCCCCCCCCCCCCCCCCGGGGTCTCCCAAGTGCCTCCATCACCCCAGCCCCTCCCTAGGACTTCTGGAGCTCCCCACAATCCAGCAACTGAAGAGTCCATGCTGGCTCGCGCTCTGCTCTCGCCAGAGCAGATGGTAAATATTTTGAATTTATTTAACAATATTTACAGAGAGTCTTCTGTGTGCCAGGCCCTATCCTGGGCACCCAGAGATACCGCAGAGGGCACAGAGACAAGTCCTGGCCTTCATGGAGTACCTGTCTCAACAACGGGCTTCATTCATTCATTCCTTCCTCGTTCACTCATTCGTTCACACCCTTTGCTTTTGCTGCTCACTCGTGCATGCAGCAAGTGATGCTTAGGAGAGTAGGGAGGAGGGGTTGGGACGCCCTGACTCGGCGGTCAGGCAGTCCTGGGTTTGAATCCCACCTCTGCCCCACCCCACCCCCCAGCTGTGTGGCTTTAAGCAAGTAGGAAACCTCTCTGAACTTGTTTCTTCTTCTGTAAAATGGAGGTCCTAATAGAATGTGACTTGGAGGGCTGTTGCGGAGATTAAAAGAATATAAATGAGCTAGTATATAACATACAATAAGAGCCTATCTATAAAGAGCTTAAAACAGTGCCTGTTTAAAGTGGGTGAGCTTTAGGGCGTCTGGGTGGCTCAGTTGGTTGGGCGACTGCCTTCGGCTCAGGTCATGATCCTGGAGTCCCGGGATCGAGTCCCCGCATCGGGCTCCCTGCTCAGCGGGGAGTCTGCTTCTCCCTCTGACCCTCCCTCCTCTCATGCGCGCGCTCTCTCTCTCTCAAATAAATAAATAAATAAAATCTTTAAAAAATAAATAAATAAAAAAAAATGGGTGAGCTTTAGGCATGTCAATTGTACCTCAATTAAACAGTTAAAACAGGGGCGGCCTGGGTGGCTCGGTGGGTTAAGTGCCCGACTCTTGATTTCCCGGGTCGTGATCTCAGGGTCGTGGGATCGAGCCCTGCATCGGGCTCTGAGCTCAGGGTGGAGTCTCCTTGAGATTCTCACTCCCTCCCTGTCTGCCCCCTCCCCCTGCTCTCTCTCTCTCTAAAAAAATAAATAAATAAAATTGTAAATAAAAATAAACCATTAAAACAAGCAAACACAATCTGGGAACACGGTAAGTGCCCAACAGTTATCAGTTGTTATACATGCGGGACACAGTGGGGACCTCCTTCGGGAACTGTCCCCAGAGCCGTCCCTGTCCTGTTCTCATCCGGATCACAGTCCACTGAGGACACAAACCCATCCCCAGAGTGGTCAGGCCAGGGTGGGGGAGCCCAGAGAGCTTTAGCAGCCCAGCGGGAGCACCTGACCCAGCCGGGGGGGGGGGTGGTCAAGGAGGGCTTCTCGGAACAGGGGACACGGTGGTGACCTGGGGGACAAGGCGTTACCTGGCAGAACAGGGAGCCACCGCTGACTCACCTGCCATCACTGCTTGCTCTCCCTGAATCATCTAGTTGAATCTTCAAAACACCCTCGGGAGACAGGCGCTTTTGTGATCCTCATTTTCCAGATGAGGAAACTGAGGCACGGGCAGGTTGAGGGATTGACTCAAGACATGCGGGTGGGAGGTGCGGAGCAGGAGCCTGCATGGGTCTCTATGCTCCACTGAAGAGCGGGTGCTGGGCGCATCCTGCCAAGGGGGGAGCAGGCTCCTTGTGGTCCCTGGGGACTGGACCGGGGGGGGGGGGGGGGGAGTGGCGGGGGGGGGGGGAGGGGGGCGGGGGGGGTCCCCTCCCCAATGTCTAAATGCAAACACACACACACACACACACACACACAGACGGGCCAGGATTTGGAAAGTGTGTCTCCTGTGGGGCGGGAGGAAGGCAGTGAGGTTGAGTCAGGGTGGGAACAAGAGACGTGGAGACGTGGCAGAGAGTACCCGGGGCCCAGAGCTACGACACTCACCGGGAACAGAGTTGCCCGCACATCCACAGCGCCTACTGTGTGTTGCACCCCGAAGTGCTTTGCAGGTTTGACATTTAATGTGAACCCTCCGTGCAACCTACGAGGCTGATGCTATCATTATTCCCCTTTTACAGCTGAGGAGAGCGAGACAGGGAGAGATGAGTGGCTCCCCCAAAGCCCATGGTTTAACAACAGCAGAGCCCAGATTTGAACCCCACCAGAGGCTCCCATATGCTACAATCACACAAAAGTGTAGGCACAGATTTGATACGCAAGGGCAGCCAGCCACCCATCCCGCCAATGCACACACACGTGCGTACACATCCGGACACAATCATAGCCGCGGGCTCCGTGCACTCCCAGACACACCCCTGCGCGCGCGCGCACACACACACACACACACACACACACATCCACAGACAGACCGACGGACTCGCCTCCTCTTCCTCTACCCAAGCTGCCAGGGAGGGAGACCCGGTTCTCTACTCTCTCCTCCTCCCCACAACCTCGGGACCCCACCGAGCACCCCTCCCGCTCTCCCCTCCCGTTCTCCCCGCCCACTCGCCCAGGCCCAGCCCCAGGGGCGGCGCCCCAGGGACTCCCGGCCCGCCCCCCGCCCTCGGGCTGGCCGCTCGCCCTCCGATCGCTTCTGCAGCTGCCCCCTGCCTGTCTCCCAGGGGGACACGCGCCCGCTGGGTAGCAGCCAGGGACACCGTCACCCTCCGCGCTCCCGCCCTGCCCGGCGGCCCAGCGTCCCGTCCCCCCTGCCCGACAGTGCAGCCTCCTTTGCCCCAGTTCCGGGCCTCGGAGGCCGCCGAGCTGGCGCGGGACAGACACTGCGGGGTGACTGGGGGGTGGGGCGCAGATGCAGAACGGGCTGGGCAGAGGTGGGGGCCGGCTCGCCCGGAGGCCCCGCTGGAATTCACCCCCCGCCGCTCCCCCTGCACAGCTGTTTATAAATTCCAGGCCCGGCCTTGGCCCACGCCCAGATTCCCCCTCCCAACCCCTGCTCAGCCCCATCTGCGGCCCAGAGGTGGAGCCAGGAGCATGCCCAGGGCCCAGGGCCTCCCTCCTCTCTGGGTCTCCTGTGTCTCTGTAAGGCTGCCCGCACTCGGGATCTGTCTCTGACTTCGCGGGTCTCCCTCTGTCCCTCTTGATCTCTCCCTCCTCATCCTCCAGACCAGCCCAGGCACGGAGCAGCAGCCTGCTCACACGTGTTCAGGCACACGCCTCCCCTGTCCCTTCTACGTGCACAGACATGGAGGAACCACAGCCTTCCAACTGGCTCCCTTCTGCCACCAGCCAGCTCAGGGCCAGCTGACACAGGCCCGAGTCTTAGCAGAGACCCAGCTGCCTCCTCCCTCAGACCCAGGACTCGGGGCCCCACTCACCCCGGCTCACTCTCTGCTTGGCGCCTGACAGGATGCCCGGAGTGTCAATGATACTGATGCTCTCCAGGACCTGATTGGGGAGCTGGGCGCACATGAACCTGAGGCAGAAGGAAAGTCAGGGGTCAACACAGGGAGAGGCAGGAGGAGAGGACCCATAAGAAGGGAAAATTGGGACCGCACAGAAGGTGACTCAGGTACAGAGCAGGGAAGAATCTCGAAAGATGAGGACAGAGAATGAGAGCTATCAAAAAACACCTGAGAGCTGATGCTTACTGAGCACATACTTTGTGCCACATGCTGTGCTAAGCACTTTATATGCGAGTGGGGACTATGGTTATCCCCATTTTCCAGATGCAGACAAGAGAGGCACCGAGGGGTTAAGTCACTTGCCCAAGGCCGCCCAGGTAGAGCGGAGGTGGACCCAGGCAGGCTGGCCCTGCACTGGCTTCCCTGCTCCCCTTGAGGAGGCAGGAAGGGGGAGGAGCAGGAAGAGAGGAGGGAATTGGAGCGGGAAAGAAAGAAACACAGGCGAGCGTGGGGGCCAGGGATGGGGAGATGCACCCCTGCCTCCCAAGCTGCAACACCTGTTGAGGAAGGTGTTCCCGAAAGGGTTGAGCTTGCGGAAGGGCTTGTCAGGGTCAACCACAAGGGCGTTGCCCGGCACAGTGCCCTCGGTGTCCCCGTGCATGACAGCCACGAAGCAGTCGGTGGTGGGCTCAGGCCCCACGCGGGAGCCTGGCACCTCCTGCTCCAGCAGGTACTGGATGAAGCTGGTCTTGCCCGTGCTGTACTGGCCAGCCACCAGGACCATGGGCTTGCCGTCGAAATCGGCATCCTCCAGGGCCGGCGAGTGGAAGGCGCCGAATCGATAGTGCTCCTCGAGAGGCAGCAGCTTGGTGCGGTAGAGCTCCTTGAGGGACGAGGTCACAGTGCGGATGGCCTCAGGCTGCTGGCCCCGCGCGCCGCCCCGCTTCAGCCAGCTGAACATGGTGGCTGCACGCTGCCGCTGGTCTCGCCGAGGGAGAGGGGCAGGGGAGAGCTGCCTGCAAGGGGGGGGACAGGGCGTTGATGGGGGCCTGCCTGGCGCAGGAGGAGGAGGAGGAGAAGAAAGGGAGCCAGAAGGTGGAATGGGCGGTGGAGGGGTGGGAGAATGGGGAGAGGGGGAGCGGCAGAGAGCACGGCAGGGCAGGAGGTGGTGGTTCATGGAGGAAGAAGGTGATTATTCCAGCTGGAGGAAGAGAAGGAGATTAACGGTGGGATGATTGAAGAAGCCGGACTGATGGTGGGAGGCCAAGGGATGATGGACAAAGGGAAGGATGCAGAAGCTGCATAGAAGAAATGGATTCCTTCATCCGTTTGTTCTTTCCGTCCTCCCTCCACCCATCCTTTCACATATTTTCACTGAAATCACCTCATGTGTCAGGATTATGGATCCAGAAAGAGGCCCGAGATAGGCCCCTACCTATTCAAAGCCCCCATTGAGGAGGAGACCTGGCAACAAGCAGCCAGCGATGCCTGGGAAATGCCAGGCAGTGGACATGTGGGCACCAGATGGGGACATAGTGAACCGACCACGGGATCAGCAAACTGGCTGAGCTGACTTTTGAACTGCTCCCTTCCATGCACAACAGGGATACCGTGCAAGACGGGCAGAGAGGGTGGTGTGTGCCAAGGCCCCGAGCTGTGAAATGCATGAAGGGGGTTGCTGGACACAGGAAGGGCGAGAAATTAAGCTGAGGAGTTGCCTGGGTGCACCCAGGTCATGAGGGTCCTCAGGTGATCACAAAAATATTAACATTTCTGATCACTGCATGCCGGACGCTGCTCTAACTCATTTAATCTCCCTAACAACATGGTAAAGTAGGGCTGTTACTATCCCCGTGTTTCTGACTCACAAAGGGGGCTCATGAAGATAGCAATAACTTGCCCAAGATCACTTGGTTGGAAAGCGCTCAGTCTGGGACACCAGGCAACCTGACCTCGGAACCTGTGTTCTTATCTGAGTTAGGAAGAGAGAATGACCAATCCAGCAGCGGCAAGCACCCCCAGCACCCAGACTGTGTTCTCTATATTCCCTTACTATCTTTTCATTCTCTGTAGGACCTGTAGTGATGTCCCCTCTTTCATTCCCGATATCAGTCATTTGTCTTTCTTTCTTTTTCTTCCTTGATCGGTCTAAGTAGATGCTTACAATTTTACTGATCTTTTCACAGAACCAACTTTTGGTCAGATTGGAGTCTCCAAACACCATTTTCCATTACAACAACAACAACAACAACAACAACAACAACAACAACAGGACTTCTTGGAGAAATGGCTGATTCTAGGGCTGGGGCAGGGGAAGAACAAGTGAGCCTGGATCAAGTAGTGGGAAGGTGCTCAAAGATGGAAGGGGCATGCCACAGGGATGCAAGGACCAGCCTGAAGGAGCTCCCACTGGCCAAAGATGGGACAGTTTGAGCATCGAAATTAACTGCAAATCAAAAATGTTAAAATCCATAAAATCACAGTGACACTTAAAGGAAAATGAATAAATAGAAAGGAAAAGGAGTAGAGGGGAAAGAGTGACGGAGAGGTAAAGGAGAGGCAGGAACTGGGAACTGGGATCTTGGCAGAGGGAAGGGGCCCTGGGCGGTGTCCTAGGCAGGGAGGGCTCCGAGGGACATTTTAGGGGTAGCTGGACAGGCCGTGGGGTTGGTAAAGAAGGAGAGGAGCTCTCGAGTGGGAGGAGAGACCAAATAGGACCGAGATGGGGGAGGGCAGTAGAGGGAGACTCCAAGGAGGGGATCTCTTCTGGCTGAGAGGATGGGGAGGCCAGTTGGGAGCGGGGGAAACTGAGCACGACGGGAAGAAACCAGGAGGGCAGGGGGCACTCTTACAGGCTGGAAGGAGCTGGAGGGAGTGGGGGAGAAAAGGAGGTTTCGCGGAGCGGGGTGCTGGAGACCCCGGGGACACCGCTACACGTTGCGGGGGGTGGGGACTGAGAGTCTTGGGGCGGCAGGGGAATAATCACGCTCCTAGGCTCCGCGGGCCGGGCGGGGTTTGGGAGGCGACAGCGGCGGTCGGGGACCACTCACCGATGGGGCGCGCAGGCGGCTGCACGGGCGGCGGGCTGGACAGGGGTCCCGCGGGGATCCGAGGCGCCCGCGGAGCGGCCTGTGGTCGAGGTCCGGGCCGGAGCCGTCTGAGCCGGGTGGGGCCCGGAGCGGGGAGGAGGGAAGGGAGGGGCGGGGGGGCGGGACCAGGCGCCCCCCGCCCCCCAAACCGGGAGCCCGGCCTCTGGTGCCCCCTGGTGGGGAGTGGCTGGGCGGCTTCTCGAGATGGGTGAGAGCGGGCTTCGAATCCGAATCCCGGTTGTTCAAAATCCGTTCCACCTCTGTCGCTGGGCCACTCCCCGATCTCTGGCTCTCCTCTTAGCATGGGAGTGCTCATATTAATCCTGCTACTAACAACAGCAGCAGCAACACCAATAATAATAATTTAAAAACTTACCTGAGTTCATGAGATTCCTCTTCTCACAACCGATCCCGGCTCCTCTCTAGAGAACTCAAAGTAAAAGCCAAAGCCCTCAATTGGGGCCCACAAGGCCCTACGTGGATCTGCCCGTTCCCTTTGCCCTCACCTCCCTTCCTCCCCCCCTGGCTCATTCTGCTCCAGCCACGCTGGCTTCTTTGCTGTTCCTCAAGCACACCAATAGCCCTCCAACCTCAGGGCCTTTGCACTTGCTGTTCCCTCCACCTAAACCACTTTCCCCGCAGGGATCAGAACAGCTCACCCACTCCCCTCATTCGTGCCTGCTCAAATGTCACCTCCTCAGAGAAGCCCTCCCTGATCTCCTTATTTAAGGCTGCCCCCACCATCTATCCATTATCACTGCTTTATTTTTCTCCACAGTTCTGATTATTCTACATTTCTCTGCTTAAGTGACTGTCTCCCTAGCAAGAACACAAGCCCTCTGAGGACAGGGATTTCCAAGTGGGTGGTTTCCTGTCGTGCCCCCAGGCTAGCACCACGCCGGACACACCAAAAGGACTCAGTAAATATTTGTTGAATTAATCTTTCACGGTTATTGAGCGCCTCCTTATGTGCAGGCTTATTAGCTAAGAGTATTAGCTCGTTGAGTTCTTAGAACGTCCCTGAGAATGGTTATCCCCATTTTACAGATGAGATAAATGAGTCCCAGGGAAGTGAAATCAAAAAGCACAGAAGGATCGTTCAGGGCTTAGCCCTGCCCCTGGCCCCTAACTGGTGCTTAAAAAACATCAGGTCATATAATCCAGGTCTGGAGCGGGGTTTTTTCTCTCAGCATGGGAGTCAGAGCATACAAAGCCTCAAGTCAAATCCCAGCCCCGCTACTTGCTTGCAAGAGAACCTCAGGCAAGCGATTCCGTCTCTCTGAGCCTCTGTCTTACTACAAAGGACCACTTCCTTTGGGTCTTTGTTCAGATGGTACCTCCTCTGTAAGTCCTTCCCTGACTCCCCCCAACCCCCCACCACCCAGGTACCTACTTCCTTTTCCTTCCTAGCACTTAGCACCATCAGCCAGAAGAGAGATGTTCCTTATTTTTACTTCTTTTTGCACTTTTATTTTCATGTATTTATTTTCAGTGTGACTTATTTTTAATCTGTCCCTGCAGGAATGTCAGCTCCTCGTGGGCAGGGGCTTGGGTCTGTTTTGTTTGCTGTTGTCACCCCAGTGCCTAGAACAGAGCCTAGCACCCAGCAGGCACTCAGTTAAATATTTAATTGGCTGAATTCAATAATGTACATAATGGGGGGGCACCTGGGTGGCTCAGTTGGTTAAGCATCTGCCTTCGTGGCTCAGGTCATGATCCCTGGGTCCTGGGATCGAGCCCAGCATTGGGGGGGGGATCTCTGCTCAGTGGGGACTCTGCTTATCCTCTCCTTCTGCCCCCTCCCTGCTTGTGCTCTCTCTCTCTCTCTCTCTCTGTCAAATAAATAAATAAATAAATCTTGAAAAAATGTACATAATGGGGGTGGTGGAAATGTTCTAAAATTGATTGTGGTGATGGTTGCACACCCCCTGCAAATACACTAGAACCAGTGAATTGTACACTTTATTTTTATTATTTTTTTAAAGATTTTATTTATTTATTTGAGAGAGAGAGAATGAGAGATAGAGAGCACGAGAGGGAGGAGGGTCAGAGGGAGAAGCAGACTCCCTGCCGAGCAGGGAGCCCGACGTGGGACTCGATCCCGGGACTCCAGGATCATGACCTGAGCTGAAGGCAGTTGCTCAACCAACTGAGCCACCCAGGCGCCCTTGAATTGTACACTTTAAATGGGCGAATGGCTTCTGAAATATCTCAATAAAGCTGAATAGATCGATCGATAGACAGACAGCTAGACAGATACAGTTGACCCTTGAACAATATTCGTTCATGGGTCCACATATAAGTAGATTTTGTTCGAGAAATACAGTACACTATTGTAAATGTATTTTTTCTCATGATTTTATTTTTTTTTTAGAAATAAGCTTTTCTTAGGCTTGAGTATTACATATTTTGAGTATTTATTAGAGCTGCTAGCGTGACCCTAACTAACAAAGGTTTTGAGTGGCTAGCAATTGAAGGACTGGAACTTTTTTTTTTACTGTTTCTTTTTTTTTTTTTTATGTTACGTTAATGCCCATCATTAGTCTTTGATGTAGTGTTCCATGATTCATTGTTTGCATATAACACCCAGTGCTCCATGCAGAACGTGCCCTCTTTTTAGAAACATTTTATTTATTTATTTTTGTAAGTAATCTCTCCACCCAATGTGGGGCTCGAGCTCACGACCCCGAGATCAAGAGTCACACGCTGTACTGACTGAACCAGCCAGGCGCCCCTCTTAAGATTTTCTTAACATTTTTTCTCTGGCTACTTTATTGTAAGAATACATATAACATACAAAATATGTGTTAATCGACGATTTATGTTATCGGTAAGGCTTCTGGTCCACAGTAGCCTTGTCGGTAAATTTGGGGGGAGTCAAGAGTTATGCGTGGATTTTCAACTGGGAGGTCGGCACCCGTAACCCCCATGTTCTTCAAGAGTCAACTGTATTCTATGGGGCGCCTGGGTGGCTCAGTTATTAAGCGTCTGCCTTCGGCTCAGGTCATGATCCCAGGGTCCTGGGATCGAGCCCCGCATCGGGCTCCCTGCTCAGCGGGAAGCCTGCTTCTCCCTCTCCCACTCCCCCTGCTTGTGTTCCCTCTCTCTCACTATGTCTCTCTCTCTCTTTTTTTTTTTAAAGGTTTTATTTATTTATTTGAGAGAGAGAGAATGAGAGACAGAGAGCACGAGAGGGAAGAGGGTCAGAGGGAGAAGCAGACTCCCCACTGAGCAGGGAGCCCGATGCGGGGCTCGATCCCGGGAATCCAGGATCATGACCTGAGCCAAAGGCAGTCGCTTAACCAACCGAGCCACCCAGGCTCCCTCTCGCTATGTCTCTATCTGTCAAATGAATAAATAAAATCTTGAGAAAAAAAAAGTCAACTGTATTCTATAAAGAGGTGTATGAATATAATACATTTTATACATAATTATATAATTATAATACATGATCACATATAATGTATAATGGTGTATATATTATATATATTTAATAACAGGCCTGGGGCTTAGTGGTGGCTAACATTATTACAGCTAGGAGCCAGGTCCTCTTCTGAAACCTTGACATGGGGCATCTCCCTTCCCCCTCGGAGGCATCCCCGGGGCTGCTCAGCCCACTGCGTCGTGCTCAGATGAGATTTGAGAGGGTCCGTGAACTTGGACATGGAGAAAAACATGATATCTGGATCGTTCGCTGAGATTTCACGGTTTCTGTCAACCGTGAACTAACAAAACACAGTGACATCAGCGGGACCTGTATTATTGCCACAAAGGGGAATGTGGTTGTTTTCATCGCATTGTGGTTGTTTTGGGGATTTCCAGTGATTGTTTACTCACCACTGATTAGACCCACCGTTAGCTCTTTCTAATTAGTGTCTTAATATAAGAGCCCTTATTACTGTGTCACAGATTCGTGGGGGGGCTTTAAATACACCGATAGCTGGATTTCAGGATAATTGGTCCCCTTGTCATCCTGCCCTGCCTCATTTTATTTTCATTCTTAATAAGATTTTTATTTATTTGAGAGAGAGAAAGAGAGAGATTGAGCAGGGGGAAGTTGGCAGAGGGAGAGGGAGAAACAGACTCCCCGCTGATCAGGGAGTCCAACTCGGGGCTCAATTCCAGGACCCTGAGATCATGACCTGAGCGAAAGGCAGACACTTAACCGACTGAGCCCCCCCAGGAGCCCTGGACGCCGCCGCATTAAACATGCTTTGAGCTCTCAGTTACTGGGGCTACCGTCTTGTCTTGCTGTGTCGCTGATCTCTGAATCGGGAAGTCTCCGTCTGACAAGTCTCTCGGTGCCCTTACAGCCTCGGGAGCCCTCTCCCCATGGCACAAGCTCTCCAAAAAAAAAAAAAAAAAAAAAAAATTCCCCCTACCCCTCTCCCTCCCCAGTTGTCAAAACCGGGTGGAGAAATTCTGGCACATTCTACAACATGAATGAATCTTGGAGACGTCATGCCAAGTGAAATAATTCCGTCACAAGAGAACAGATACTGCATGAGCCCACTCTGGAGGTGCCGAGAGCAGTGGGATCCATCCGGACAGAAGGTGGTGGGCTGGGCTTGAGGAGTGGGAGTCAGCGTGTAAGGGGTTAGAGCTTTAAGTTCAGAGGAGAGCCGATGGTGGTGTTTGCACGATGTGAAGGAAGGTACTGAACGTCACTGAGCAGTATACTCAGAAATGGTTAAAGCAGTCAGTTTTATGTTACGTATATTTTATCACAATTAAAGAAGGAAAACAAACAAACAAACAGATGGAGCAGGTGGCCAGCCAGAAGTTAGGGATGAACTTCGGCCGCGGTCAGTCTAGGGTTCCAATCCTGCTCTGTGCCCAGGCGACTGTTTTTTCCCCAGATGCCTCAGCCAGGAAAGAGGAGACGCCACACGCACCCACCGAGCTGGTTCTAGGATCTGGGAGCAGCGGTCTATGAAGTTTGGTCCCCAGTTTTGGTCTCCTCCCCAGCACGGGGTTGGGGGGGCGGAGAGCCTCTGGCTCTCGCACTGCCCTCTGGGAAAGGCCTTGCTGTTGCCCGCCCTGCCCCCCACTTCCCT